CAGACAGATGTCAGCTGGAGACTTGGCGAACGCTAATGTGGTGGCTTGGAAGTTTAATGTTGGCGTTCACTCCCAAGAGCCGGGAGAGTCGACAAAGAGGCTGATAGACAGGCAGAATCGGTGCATAACTCCGATCCAAGCAGACCGCACGAGCTAGCGATCAGATCCACAAGCGAAAACGAAGTGCAGAGCTGCGACGTCTCTATCTCGGTAGTATGTCGCACAAGTGCCGACTGGTCTCGAGATTGACGAGTGGGAGAAGCTTGGGTGCCACTCCGAGTCGTTCCTGCTTGATCAGCCGTGGCTTTACCAATCAAAAGGCAATTCCTCAGCGACCCGTGATGAAGAGACTTGCCCTGTCACATTTTGCTCGCGGCTTGACCAGCCCTCGTGAGAGAAAGGATCAAGGTCCGAACGTGTGGGAGCCGGGCGTTGGAAGCCAGGACCAAGAACGTTAGTCAGTCATGGTGAAACGTTGAGTCTAGCAGATGGTTTGGAAAAAGAAGGTTGGCGGTTGACGCGCTCCGCTGGCGCAATTGGCAGGCGTTTGATGCGAGGGTTTGGACGTCAGCCTCCTTGAGAAAGCCGCCCGTACACGCGTCGCTTGGTCCCTTGAGGGAAGCAAGAGCGAAGGGGACACAAAGATACATTTGTGCGGCAAGCGCTTGTCTGCAAGAGGTAAGGCAATCCTATTCTTGGCCGCTGTGGTCTCTGTCCTCTCGATACTCGATGGCACGAATTCGATGGCCAGAGATTGAGTCATAGGCTTTTGTCTGGCTGCAGAGGAGGACAACCTTAACCAAGCAGTTGAACAATTCGGAGCAGGAGCCGCATGGACCACGAGCCAAACTGCAAGCTGTTGATGATGATGTTGTTGACGGACTCCAGAAATCGGAGGGTCACTGCGGCCGTTCATCAAGCTTGCAATATCGCTTGCGTCCAGTGGCGCGTTTCATCCTCGTGTGTGCCTTGCCATGCCTTGCCTTAGCCAGTTTGCACGTGGGGTTGCCGAAGAAAAAGCTTCCACTCTTTTTTCTCACAGACGACCTCGTCCGTTGATTCGTCGACTCGTCGTCCTTTGGACCCGCCTGTTTCTGGGAGACAGCATCGCATCATTATATCAGGATGCGATGGGGTTCGGGTATCATTACGAACCACTCTGCATTGATTACAACGTGCATTGCATTTCGCACGGACTTTTCCATGTCTCTTCCTTATGATGCCTTCTCATATGTACAATTCTGATCCTCGGCGGGGAGGCGTATAAGGTCGAGCCGGGTCCTGTCGTGGCGGGCGATCTCGTAAGTAGTGCCCGTTTCATTCTTCTCTTGCTGCTGCTGGTTTCCACCCTTGTCAATTCAATATCCAACTCCTTCGCTCACTTCGATTCTGTCTGGATCGCTACTTCGCTGTTGCTGTCGACTGTCGTCTTCGCAACGTCCTCTTGAGCGCTACTCTGTCTTCTTGTATCTTTCGCTGCACGCCCGTTGAGGTCCGGATCTCCTGCAGGTGTCAGGTCACAATCGATCAAGCTGTCCGTCCCCGGCGATTTCGAGCACATTCATACGCTACATGGTGAGGCCCCAGCCTTTTGTTACCCCTCAACATCACATTCATATCACTCCATCCTTGTGTACCTCTCCTTGTCACTTTGCCCGCCCAAAGGTCTCGGCTAGACTTTCGTTCACATCCTCTGCACTTCTCTCTTTTCGTCAGCCACCTACACAGAAGCTCTTTGGCTTGGCTTGGCCGACCGCTCCCCGCCCTCCTAGCTCTGATCGGAACCCACATCTGCTTGAGAACATGCCTCCTCAACATAATCTTGTACTTGTACTCCATCTCAACACTACTCCACTCTCCATCTGGAGCTCAGATACCGTTAGCGGCCTGCCTCAATTCCGATCGCTTCTACCGATATAGAGTCCGATCTTCCTTCGTCTTTTCAATCTGCTCCGCATAACTTCTATCTCCATGCTACACTGCGCTTCTTTGCTCAATCATACTCTAACACCGTCGACTACAGCCTTACACGCAACAGGACCCGTCAGGCATACTGCACAACGCAGCGTCGTATAATTATCGAGGAACCTCTCAACACAACCGTGTGGACTCTCCAAGACAGCCTCCATCATCACTGCCTCCACCGCTATACCTACCGTTGTCATCAGGGACGTCAGTTCTGTCTAGCCAATCGGTCGGATCTGCGAATTCCAGTCAGACGCCCTCTGCGTCACAAGTCTACGCAAATCAACAATCCTTCTATCCTGCTGCTTATAACCCAAGGAACCAGAATTTCCATAGTGAGTTGCAGCATCGCATCACCTCAGAGTTTGTAATGCTGACATCAGAATCAGACCCAGAAGCAATGGCAGTTCATCCGGTAGTGAATCGCCAAATGTACCCCTCTATCGGGCCCTACCATCCATCACAAACAGCATCCCCGACGTCCATGCATTCGCACCACGATCTCCAGGCTCGCGGTATGTACAATCAAGGATTTGGATACCCTCAACAGATGTTCGCCTACCCTCAATATGCTCTACATACGCACCCAGTATACGCCGCTCAACCTCCACCGCAATCCTATTCACCTATATCCCCGCCAGGATCTGCAATCTTGATGTCTCAACCAACAACCTCGGCCGTCCATTCATCGCCTTCCCATGGTATCACCGCAAGTCCTCGAATGAAGTTCGAACCACCGCACCTGAAACTCGAGTATCCTCTTGTGANNAGACCGAACAAAGTTATATTCAAAGACCCATGTCAAGCATTGGAACAGCCTCTTCTGGAGCAGCTGCAACTTCATCTCCTCCCTCTGGAAGCGNGAGCCAACACAGCAGCGCCAGGTCCGATTCCTGCCACAACCCCTCTGGTCGTACGCCAAGATCAAAACGGTGTGCAATGGATTGCGTTCGAGTACTCGCGAGATAGAGTAAAGATGGAGTATCAGATCCGTTGCGATGTCGAGTCTGTGGTGATCGATGAGTTGACTCCTGAGTTCAAAACAGCGAATTGCGTTTATCCAGGAGCATACAGCGGCAAAGAAGGCTATAAAGGCAACAGACTTCACTATGAGACCGAATGTAATGCCGTTGGCTGGGCGTTAGCACATCTTAACCCGGCGCTCAGGGAGAAGCGCGGTCTGATCCAACGCGCCGTGGATAGCTGGCGCAACAGCAACCAGGACCCTCGCTTGCGAAGCCGACGAGTACGAAGACAAGCTAAGATTAATACTCGAAAGGCACAACTACGCCAGGTTTCGCTTTCGCCCACCAATGTCCTTGCATCGCGAGGTCCGCCAGCCATGTCTATGGACTCAGCGAGATCGGCGACGTCACTCAGCATGAATGCTGGTCAGCTTCATCATCATCACTCGACAACAGATGGTAGCGGAGGCGAAAGCGGTATGTTCCCAATAGCTTGATCATGCACTGCAATGTTGTTACTGCTTTGTAGTGGTGGCTCGAACATAAATTTGAAATGCATGTTTTATGCTATAGGGGGTTTGGGGCGTCGGGTTTCTTGTTTTTGCTTTCTCTTCATACCTATACCCACATTTTTCACGGTTGTCTCTAGGCTAATCCCTTTTCTTCTTAAATATANNGTCAGCAATGAAACACAGTCGTTCCTGAATCACCACAGCCCTCCGAGTAGTCTCTCTCTTGGTTCCCCCTTCGATTCTCATCGTAGGGACAGCCACTGTCCAACACTGTCGACATCCTGTTCAGTTGAATCTGATTCGTCGATCACCACCAGCCAGAGTGCCATCAAGGCAGAGGAAGAAGATAGGAAACCCTCACTTTCTACTAACGTCCCCGAGGGAAAGAAACGCAAATTTATCCTTGTTGACGACCTTGCACGCGGCACACGGGTACGTGTCCACGTAGAGCTCGATAACATCAAACTGGAGGAGATGCCCGATTACCATTTACAGAAGAATAGCGTCTTCCCCCGCCAGTTCTATCCTCGCCAGATGCATGCACCTTCGTCTTATCAAATACAACCAGGAGGGACCAACAACGAACGCAAGAGCGAAGAAGGGAGCATCACGCTGAAAACTGAGAATGTGGTCCACGTGCCTCTACTCGATGGCTCACAGACACAACTTTCCATTCCTGAAACGTCAAAGGATCTTGAAGCCAAAGAATGTGCACTCAACGAATTGGGCTATCGGATGAGTTGGAGGCAAGCGAAGACGTTTAACGAGAGAACCATGTTCATGCAGAAGTCGCGTAAGTCAGAGACATATCTTTGTATGTTGAGAAGCTAATGATGGTTATAGTCGATGCTTACCGAGACAAGACGTGGAGTTCAATAGTAGCATCTGGCCAACACGACCCGTGTATTGCTTCGCACTTTGAGGTTCGAATAGGCAAACGCAAGTGGTCAGAGCATAATGGTTCTAGTGGTCCTTCATCTTGAGCGACCAGCTGCCTATGTCAATTGAATGTCGTTTATAGGTTCTGTATGATGGTTGTTGAACATATACGATGGATGGTGCAGTCGTTGCAGTCGAATCTGTTGATCGTAGACTACGTTTAGTTTTTGCATAAATTCGTGAAATAGATGTGACATGAAGTACTGGAGAGTTCTTCCACTGATCGCTAGTGTTCCTCGTGCTTGAGTAAACATCCTGCAACGCCAAGGAATGGTTCATTTGGACCTTGATAGGTACACTGTTCATGTGATACCAGCTAGACTCTTGTGACTATCTCGCCTGGTGAAATCGCTCACCTCTGCAGCGATACAGCATGATTTAGAGAGTGGTTGTGATGACTGTGAGCTATCGCAAGGGGGCGTTCTCGGCAATGGTTGACAAACGAAAAAGAGCAAGACCCCCAGAATCTGTTGACAACCGTCGGCTTCCTTCTTGCTTCGGCGTTAAGAACCGTGGATAGCCGACCTTCCCCTCCTCGATTTTTATCGGCATCTGCCTCTTCCTTCACATGCCCATTGTCTTCCCATGAGATCCTTCGAACCACTGTTGCTATCATATCATGTCCGACTTGAACGCAGACACCCAATCACAGGGATCGCCAGAGCCAGGTAAACACCAGAAGCGGACAAGCAAAGCCTGTATGTAATAGCAGATGATGAAAAATGCGAGCCTCCTCCAGGATTCGGACCATCTTGGATTGCCGACGCGCGAAGCGTTAGCGGAAGACGAATATCATGGCACTTTCGAAGCTGGCTTGCTTCCCTGAACCACATCTAGCTTGATTTCTTGTTCACAATAAGTCTGACTGACCTTCTCCAGGCTTGGTTTGCCGCGCAAGAAAGAGTAAATGCACACTGTCAGTACCCGTCCTTGCAGCCAACTTCGGGTCAATTCCTCTCTCCTCCAGCATCACCACCAGGATCTGCAGACACCGACACGAGTAACCGTATCTGACCGTCTTGTTTAGTGATACAACAGACGGAGAACCTCAACCACCATGTTTGCGATGCCGCAAAGAAAACAAGCAATGTGTTATCGGCAGCAGCAATCGTGGAGGTAGACGGGTCAGGCGGTCTACGATAGCTTCACAACAAGCTCCGAGTCAGAATCAGACCCAGGCTCAGGCGAGCGGTCAATCTCAAATCGAATCCGGTTTGCCAACTCAGAAGACCCCCTCAAATGATGAGGGACAAGCAATCTCCTGGTAAGCCTCACAACATATCCATGTGTTGCAGCAATAGCAATGCCCTATCGGATACCCTCATGAGCAAGACGTTGTCCATTCAGAGAAATCATCTCGATGGCTTCTTATGGGCACATTCCTGGAAACATCACGACCGTGTATTTGACGACTTACAGCCTTTCGTGGCGATAAGAGGAGGAGTACGACTGATTCAAGCGCTCGAGGAGCAGATATCTTACAGGAAAACATGATGAGCCAGACTGATCGTGTCCATCACACAGGAACTCAAGCTCGATACCGAGTAACCCATACTCGACCTCTTCACGACATAACATCACCGGTGCGACTCCCATGTCGGCCAACACTGGCGTCAGCAATCTGGATTTCGCAACTCAGCGTCAACTGTTCGACCCGCAAAGTCTCGCAATGGACATCGATCCTGCTATCGGAACCGCAACAGTGAACGAACAAAGATCGCATGATCACAATATCGAGGAGTCTGCTCGTTCATCGAGCTCTGATAACATACCTTTCAACGAGTTGCAAAACCCTTCAGATGCTTTGGACATACTGGCTCAGATCGCGAGTAACGACAACAACAACTCGGCTCGCCAGTCCACCTGGCAAGAGAAACAACCACAACATAGTCTTCGCACAACCTCTCTTTACTCAAACACATGGAACTCTGATGGCCTAGATTATCACCTAGTGCGGTCGGGTGCTTTGTCGTCGACCAAAATTTCGCAACTGATTGAACGTTATCGTCAGCACTACCACCCTTACTTTTCGATCGCTCCACCTAGTACCCTTGATACCACCAATTTAGCAAAAACAGCCAAAGAGGAACCGCATCTTTTGACCGCTATGCTTGTTATTGCTTCGAAGGATCTAATGGAGGAGCCGCACATCTTCACAGCTTGCTCAACATATATGCAGTCGTTAGTATCTGTGTTGGTCGCTGGTGGCTCTGGAGGGGTTGAAGCAGTCGAGAGTCTGCTACTGCTTGCTGAATGGGCACCATACACATCAAGAAGCCGGGCAGGAAACGTCGGACGTGGAGAAGAAGATCGCGAGGCCTGGATGCATGTTGGCACTGCTTTGCGCATCGGCTACTATCTGGGTCTGGACAAGTATTCATTTCCTGTGGCAGCGGACATCAAAGACCCTCAGTGGAAGCGTAAGCGTCTAGTCTGGACATGCTGCTACATATCGGACCGACAGATTTCCATCCGTATAGGCCGTGCTTTCTGGAGTCGGGGACCTGGGCCTGGCCTTGCTATCCGGAAGGAAGACTATCCTTACCAGCCCCAAAATCCCGGAGATGAAGACTTCCCAAAGCTGTTCCAGGCGACTCTGGAGTTGACGTTACTGTTCAGTAATGTACACGACGTGCTGTATAGTAGCCCTGGAAACAGCTTGCGGAACCATTTGACAGGAGGATACTACATCAAGATGGTTGATGCAAGTCATGCCAACATCTCATGCACAAGACATGTGCTGACTCTATGCTAGGACTTTCGCAGCGCATACTATGGATGGAATGCCGTTTACGGTACCATGACATGTGCGTGCGACCGTCCAAGCCACCTTAAGAATTATGTTGACAGAATGATAGGCTCACCGAATCTCAAAGCGATGCTGCTGATGTCTTACGATTACTTAAGGCTCTATACCAATGCTTTTGCATTTCATGCTACGATACGTCGCGCATTGCCTGAGGGAGAAAACGGCAAACCATCCTTTAGTCGAGTTTTCTACAACAATGTTGGTGCGGTTGGAGATGCGCGATTCATCTATGAAGGACTCGATGCCGCAAAAAGCCTGCTCACCACGATGAACAACTTTGTTGACGCGGAGAGGTAATGATGACACGTTTTTGTATAAAGTGTATCTTGCTAACTCTGGCTCTCTCTCCNNAGAATGTTACGATATATGCCTTTGAGATTCTATCTTTTCACAGTCTATGCAGGCGTGTTCTTGTATCATGCCCGCTCTGTTGGCGTCATGTCGCCGGAAGAAGAAGCTTCTGTGAGAAGAATGATCCAGCAAACAGTCACTGTTCTCCAAAGATCAGGCGTAGGAGAGAGTCATCCTGGAAGCCGCTACTCACAGCTGCTCAAACTCCTTTGGGACAAGGTGGATCGAAAGTCGCACAAAGAGTCTCGGTCCGCACGATCACTCGCCACACTCGAGAATCCGTACAGGCCTGTCAGCACAAGTGCTGCTACACCAGCATCGAACTCTGCAGCCTCGGCTTCGTTGGAATCGCCGGCAGTCACAGACCTGATGGGAGATTTCAGCTGGACGGATCTAGATGCGATAGGTCATTTCGCTGTCAATGGTAATGAAGGCATGTCGACGGACGCTGAATGGTGGACGGGATTTCTTCCTACGGATAGCGGTCCCTTGGGTCCACTGAGTGGGTTGGGTTCGATGGACAACTGGAGCTTCAGCATGTAATCTTGAGTTATTTATGGGAAATAAGGAACAGAGAGGGTCCCTGTATTCTAGTCGTGCTATAGAGGTGCACAATAATTCAAACGTCAATACGACTTACTGCAAGAGCTGATATGCCCTTGAACCTCTTCCGGTGTGCACATGATCCGAAAACGCCCGTGCACTTCAACTGGCAATTGTTGACAACAGCCCCACACTATCGGCATTTGACAGGAGGGGTAGCGGCTAATGAGATCTTCCGTGCCGTCACTTACCTTTCACCTTTTATCGTAGGAGTATCCTCTTCTTGTTCCTGCTAACACGAACATCTGCTTCATACACGCTCAAGATGGGTGGCTCTGCTCTTCTCATCGGAAACATCACACATGCTCGCAAGGAGTGGGAGGAACTCGGCTCTCTGCTCGAGTTGANNAAGTCAGTAAACACGACATTAATGGCTGCATGACCAATCGCTTACTAGCAAGTGCAGGAGTACAAGACAGGGTCGCGAGACGACTTTCTCTCCAAGCTAAAGTCCGGCGAGTTTGACGACACGTTTGTCGTTTACCGCAGCAACGAATCGACTGGCGTGACGGGGCCCTTTGACAAAGAGTTGGTTGATTTGCTCCCCTCGAGCGTCAAATACATTACACACAATGGCGCTGGCTATGACAATATTGATGTCAAGGCCTGTACCGCACGTGGAATCCAGATCTCGAGCACACCTATCGCTGTCAACGATGCTACCGCTGACATTGCCATCTTCCTTATGTTGGGAGCCTTGAGACGCATCACTGTGCCCTTCAATGCTGTCCGCAAGGGTGAATGGCGTGGCAAGGCATTCGGTCTGGGTCACGACCCGAAGAAAAAGGTCTTGGGTATCCTTGGTATGGGAGGCATTGGAAGAGCCGTGGCCGAGAGGGCTGCTGCCTTTGGCATGAAGATCCAATACCACAACCGCAACNCCCTCCCCGCCGACAAGGCAGGAAACGCCAAATATGTGTCATTCGACGATTTGATGAAGACTTCGGATGTCCTGAGTTTGAACCTCGCGCTCAACCCCTCGACAAAACACATCATCTCCACTGCACAGTTTGACATGATGAAGGATGGTGTCATCATCGTCAACACAGCCAGAGGACCCATCATTGACGAAGCCGCCCTTGTCAAGGCCATCCAAAGCGAGAAGGTCTTCTCCGCCGGCCTTGATGTCTTTGAAGAAGAACCGAAAATTCACCCTGAGCTTATCAGTGACGACCGTGTTGTTCTGTTGCCTCACATCGGTACTGCGACATGGGAGACACAGAAGGATATGGAACTGTTAGTGTTGGAAAACTTGAGATCGGCTGTCGAGAAGGGCGAGCTGGTGACTTTGATACCCGAGCAGTCCAAGTAGATGCTCACTTGAGAACTTGATGCATATAAGGGCCAACGAATAGAATGATCATTCATGACCTACATCCACTTTCTGTCTTGTGTTGAAGTCACGACTGTTGATGTTTACAACCCTTTTGATCGCCGAGCAGCGTCGACTGAAACCCGTTCTTGTGATCCTTCCCAAAAGCCGATGCTGTGTGACGCTTTTATCACGTTAGTTCTTTGAAGATCGCACTTGGCAACCCAGGGCATCTCTTGGAAGGAAGTGCGGAGGAATCCTCCTGCCTGTTATATTTATATCTAGACAGACTTTACTTTCTTATCTTGTAACAGGTTCACCCAGATCGTTCGTCCCTACCACATCTCACTGAGCACTGTTTGATTGAACCAATTCGCGATGGTAACCGGTACCAAGTCGGTGGGCATCTGGGCCGATATCAAAGAATACCGAAGAGCATATATTCTCACAGCAGTCGCCAGTTTTGGTGGTATGCTCTTCGGATGGGATACCGTATCGACTACATATAACACCATGATCAATCGCGAAGCTGACATCTTCGTAGNNGGTCTGATTGGCGGCGTCTTGACAATGGACTCGTTCAAAAACTCATTCGCCCTTGTCGATACCCCTGCTGCGTACGCAGACCTGTCCGGCAATATCGTATCCGTTCTCCAGGCTGGATGCTTTGTAGGTGCCGCTGCCAGCTTTTGGGTCTCTGACACTTTTGGTCGAAAATCTGCCCTCATCTATGCCGATATCATCTTTATCATCGGCAGCGTACTTCAGACTTGCAGTGCTCTCGGCAATCGCTCTCTCGCCACTCTCTACGCTGGCAGAGTCATCGGTGGGATTGGTGTGGGTTTGATCAGTGCTGTGGTACCCACGTATATTGGTCAGTTTGGCTCCAGCTTGAATGATGTTGCTTCTAATCCGTAGACATCTANNGGCGAGAATGTTAACAAGGAGATCAGAGGTCGTTGTATAGGTACTATGCAACTCTTCAAGTCAGTACCAAACTCCATGACCGTTGATACCACTGCTGACCGAAGGCNNAGTGTGACGGGCATAATGCTGTCATACTTTGTCAACTACGGGGTGACTCGATCCATTTCATCTGACGATGATGCCCAGTGGCGGGTACCTTTCGCTCTCCAGATGCTACCCGGCGTTCTTCTTCTCATCGGTATCGTCTTCCAGAATGAGAGTCCAAGATGGCTTGTAGAGAAAGATCGACACGATGATGCTGCTCGAGCGCTTGCTCATGTACGCGGCCGCTCACAAGATGACCCTGTCGTAACTAAAGAGCTAGGCGAGATCATAGCCGACTTCCAGAGTCATGAGAAGATCTCGTTGTTAGGACAACTGAGGACAGTCTGCTCTAATCGAAAGTACTTTTATAGGTACTCTATGGCCATCATTCTCATGATGTTTCAGCAATGGACGGGCACGAATTCGATCAACTACTACAGCCCCCAGCAAGTTCACTGATCTTTCTCCGCTAGTCATCTAGCTGACATACTATCTCAGGNNATATTCGAGTCCATCGGGTTGGGTTCATCTGCTGGCCTCTTTGCTACTGGAATTTATGGTGTTGTCAAAGTTGTGATTACCGCTTTGGCTTTAGCATTCATGACCGAGCAGTAAGTGTGCTGCGTTGTATGCACTGTTGCTGATTATGCTAACTCACTATCTACACTAGACNTCGGCAGAAAATGGAGCTTGATTATTGGCGCTCTTGGACAGGCCTTTGCCATGTTCTACATTGGCATCAACCAAGCCGTTAATCCGGTAGCCGAAGGCGCTCCTTTGAACGGCAACAGTATCTTCGCCATCATATCAGTCTATCTGTTTGTTGTCTTTTACAGTGTAGGATGGGGTCCCATTCCGTTCATCCTGGCTTCCGAAACAAGTGTACGTATAGCTGCAGCTTTCTCCTTGATAACATTGCTAACATAAAGGCTCAGCNCCAATCATGTCAGGTCTTTGGTCATGGCATCAGCATTGATGTGCCAATGGGCATTCAACTGCGTGATTGCCAGAATCACCCCCGTCATGCTCAATAGCATCACCTACGGCACATTTCTCATCTTTGGCATTTGTTGCATCTTGATGACCATCTACACAATCTTTTGGTAAGTCGATACCCATCACATCGAACCCAGCGCAAGCTGACGTTCCGCCTGTTGCACANGTGTCCCCGAGACCAAAGGCGTACCCCTCGAGTCAATGTCTCTACTCTTCGAAGGCAACATTATCAAAGGAGCCACTTACGACACAATACCCGCATACTCGCGAGCAAAGTCTTTGCAAAATGCCTCGAACATGCAAGAACACGACGAAGAGGGTAACAAAAGCTATTTCGCCATTCATGTTGAGAGGACAAAGGACGTTTGACTGATTCAACCTTTGGAAAATGTATAGAAACAGAACCTTTGCTATGTTGAAGCATATGAAACATACCCAGAGCCTTTGACATGGGTGACCCAGAAAGCGCCATGGATGTATGTCGTCCTCTATATTGCTGCAGTGGAACGGTATAGATTCAAATAGAATACGAACATGTATACAGCAAAAGGGGAAAACGAATTTCGACAAAAATAAATGCACATTTCGCAATCTTTCTCTGAAGCCAGCATCTCTGATAAACAAGAAAACGTGACAAAATCAACACGAAGAAAAAAGCATAGAAAGAAACCTCCTCCCTGATTCTTTCCTCAACAGCTCTTCTCTGCTCTACCATAACCCTGAGAAACAAACACTGTTACCTCCCTCTGGATGATTCGGGAAAAAAAAATTGATGATAAAAAACTAAAACTTCTCCATTTGCAATATGTCCCTTTCTCTACTCCTGTCCGAACCCAACCGTCTCCTCGACAGCCCATAGAAGCTTGGCGTTGAGCGCTTCATATGTCTTGTACGGCGGCAAGTCGAGACGGTTGAAGCAAGTATGCGATTTGGGCAGTTGACCTTCCTCGCCCGATTTCTCGATCGTGAAGCGGCGAGGTCCGTCACCTCCTTGCAGATCCTTGAAGCCGTTGACGGGGATACGCGAAGTACCGGTTGCGAACTGCAGTAGGCGAGATTTCTGCTCAGAGTCCCATGTGCGGATAGTCNNTGTGATGAAGGTCAGCATGCATGAAAAGTTGACGACAGTGGCAGTTATGTATCTTACCTTCCAGAAGTTTTGAATGACGGGATCCTTCTCATCGTAGCCACGGTAGTCGGTGTTCTTGGCCCAATCGTCGACATCGATTTCTGAGATACCACCGATGAGGAGTTCAAGTTCACGCTCGTCAAACACGTTGATAAGGTCTGATGGGATGAGCTCATGGAACCCTTGGATAAAGGCGTTGAACTGCTCCTCGACACGTTTGTTGATTCTCCATTCTGTGACAAGNCCTGCGAGGTGCGTTAGATTCAATGCTTGACAGGTAACATGCTCAATAACAACTTACTCGACGTATTCTCTCTTGTTGTCGTCGGTCACTTCAATATCTCTACCGCCAGGCTTGAGGTCGATGGTCACCTTCTCGCCGAAGACTTCGTCCTCGACACAGAAGTGCTCGAAAATAACATTCTCGATGGAATTGTCAAGAGTCCAACTCAAGGTGCGGTAGAAATCGGCATCGACACCCTCCATATCTGCAAGACTGACCTTCTTGCGAAGAATCATCTTGTAGAAAGCTCCAATGAAGAAGGCGTCCAGGAAGCGTCTGTGGAAAATGGCGAGACCTACAACACGTCCGATGAATTTGAAGTAGCCAAGATGCTCTGGATTAATACCGGAGTGAGGGTTGATCTGTAGCGTGTAGTTGTCGATGGCCGAGTACTCGAACAAACAGTAGAAGGGGTTGAACATCTCGTGAGACAAAAGGAAGAAGAACTCTCTAGAGAGACCACCGTAGTCGAGACCATCTTCACCGTCGAACTTGATCATCAGTCGTTTCTTCAAATCACTAGGACTTTGACGCATAATCTCGGCATATGAATCCTCGAAAATATGAGAACGTCGGACCTTGACGTGACATTGTCCAGACAGGATGCGAAGAGCTGGTTGAGAACGGAAGTAAATGAGCTTCCTTCTGAAGTCACGCTTGTATTGCGGCACGTTCTGATCGAGTGATGAGGGCAAGCGAGGATCGTCCCAGGTGGTCGTTTTGGTGTTGTGGTCGACAAAGTAGACGCGAGCAGTGTTGGTGAGACGCATTTCCCATCCACTGGGCAGAGGACCAAGCTGTGAAACAGGCTGCTGTTGAATAGTGCCTTGTGCAGCATTTTGCCCGTACATGCGGATGTACTGCTGCCTCCTGGGGTCAACCCATGTAGTAGTACGGGTGTTGTGGTCGACAAAGTAGGCGCGGCCTTCTGGTGTATGGCGCTGTTCCCAACCGGCAGGCAATTCGCCTGTACCAGCAGTAGTAGTACCAGTGGCCATCATCGACATTGCCTGAGGGTTAGAGGTTCCGGCAGCAGCAGCGGCGGCGGCAGCAGCACCATTAGGAGGCGAGTTCTGACCGCCCGACAAAGTTGGTGAGCTGGCACCCGTGCGATCATCAGGCAGCATGCGGTTCTGGTGTCGCGCACGCTGCGCTTGCGTCTCTGCTTCGTTGGCTTGGCGCTGTTCGCCAGCATTGAAGTTGGCCGTCGGGCGGACCCATGTGGTCTGCCTGGAATTGTGGTCGACGTAGTATGTGCGTCCGAGGTTGTCTTCTCTTCGTTCCCATCCAGGAGGTAAGCGGCCTTGGGAGTCCTCGAAGGCGCTGAAGCCGGCAGTGCGCGGAGCTGATGTATCGCCCGACGTGCTGGGCTGACGCGAGGCCGAAGCACTCGGCGGAGGGGGAGCGTCCAGTGTGGTTGTTGAAGCAGCACCGTTGGGTCGGGCGGCGGTCGCAGCGGCGGCGGGGGTTGCAGCCGGACGGAGGTTAGTCGACAGGTTGAGGATGAGCTTGCCGTTGACTACTAGGTTGTCGTTACTCTTGCGAAGGTCGCGGGTGAGCATTTCNTAGGAACAACAGCTTGTCAGCGTTTTCAGTTGGAGAGTGAAAGTAGCTGACGACGTACCGTCACCACCAGCATCCAAGTCGATGACACTGCCAACACGGACGTTGACAACACCGAGGAAACCCTGGTCCTTCTTCTTGAACTTCTTCTGGTCGAAGATTTGAACGGCGAGAATGCTCTCTTCGTTTGCTCTCNNCTACAGGCTCCCGTCAGTGTGGGCGACACGGGAAGTAGAGGAGATATCGTACATGTCGAAGCTCTCATTCCAGTAGGGATTGAGCGTCTTCTTGATGACGCCGGTCGTCTTTGTTTGTTCGCCATTGATGGTGGCTACGGCGAAGGGGTCGGGAAATCCTGCAGGACAGCGTCAGTCGACGCTTCGCGGCACGAACGGGCGGCGGGCAGAGGAGGGGAACTCACGGAAGACGTCTCTCTTGTAGAGGCCGTCGGCGGCGATGACTGGGGAGGGTCAGTATGGCAAGACTGGAAGGGACGAGTACAGGGACTCACTGGTGACGCGCAGGTTGGGCTGGGCCGGGAGGTCGGCCATGGTGTTTCGGGCGCTTTGGTCGTCGCTGGAGATGGTCGTCGTGGGGTTTGAAGGGCGACAAGACGTCAAAGCCCATGCACCGGCCGATGTGGGAAACGGTACAGAGCTCTAGCCTTGGACAACGAGCACCGTCTGCCTGCCTGCCTGTCTGCCTGTCTGCCTGTCTGCCTGTGTCTGCACGTGCCTCGACCGAGGGGAAGGGCTATGGGATGGGCAAAGTCGAAGACGAAGATCAGGATCAGGATGAGGCTATTAGTGGCTGTGCTCGACCTCGAGTACGCAGGCTGACAAGAGATAATATTCCTCGAGAGCGCGTCGAGTCTAGATGCTGTCGTAAATGATAGGAAAACACACGCGTAGTGCACAGGACGGCGCGGTAATGCTCTCGTTCCTGACGTGGTCGTTGGGAAATGCTGACGGAGACGGACAAGACTCAAGAGCGACTCTCGCAGCCTCTCCAAACTTCGACTTCGTCATGGCCGCCTGCACCGAACACTCCCACTCGCACTCGCACTCCCACCGACCCGCGCCCCCGAGCCAATTTTTCCTTCATTTTCGCTCCTTTTTCTTCTCGCCCAGTCCACGTCCTTGTCACTCGTGCCCATAATTAGCTGCTTTATTGATTGCAAATTATCGTCAACTGGGTCTATTTTGCGTCCCTCCTCTACATATTTATGATTATTCACTCGGGCTCAAGTCCGCCCTGTTCCCATCTGGTTCATCTCAATGCTACTGTGCTGTGCTCGGTCAAAAATTTCCTCATCTTCTTCGTCTGCTCCTCTCATCAAACCTTCTTCTTCATCTCTGTTTTGCGCTACCTCTGCTGTACCCTCACTTTTCCGACCGTTGCCTTTGTCTTTTTGCATCGCCATATATATTGCCGACCCAAGAATCAATGTCGACCCAATTATCGACGTGGCTCCTGGTGTCTGCCCAAAGATGAATCTATCGAATCCCAGTGCAAAAAGCATTGATGTATATGCCATGTTGGTCGCTCGCGATGACTTTTCATAACTCAGTCCTGCTGCCAAAAGAAATTGCNNTGTTCTTGGGTTAGTCTCTGTGAACAAATCTTGATTTTCTATCCTTACCATGATGAAACCACATGTTCTGTCTGTCGTTAGCCATATACTCTTGTATGAGGTTTCGCAGCTCTACTCACCCAAGAAANNTATCAGATATCCCCACTCCTTTGCATCAGCAGGGAGAAGGAAGCCGATACCAGGAAGCGTGAGTTGAGCTACAATGCTGACAATGGTACACCATGTAGCAAAGTAGTTGACACTAATAAGTGGATGCGCTCTCTTTCCAATCCATCGAATCGTCGTATATGCGATTACTGAACCGCCTACACCCACTAGTGCGATGCCGACGGCTGCCAGTCGCTCAGCCGGCGTGATATTGTCGTAGTTGGATGCATCCGGCATGGTCACTGTGCTGTTAGATCCGACTACCTCGGTGTTCCCACTGGCAGGTGGCGCTTCCGCAGAAGAGAAGAAGAGAGATGTCGGCCTAGCAATAAAGACCACACCCACCAAAGACACAAGACTGCCTATCTTGTCGATCTTAGTGAACGCCTCCTTGAGCAAAAANGAACAGACCCAGCATGTAAGGGCTGGGGCAAGAAACGTGATTACGGTGGCATCAGCGAGCGGCAGATATATGAGTGAGTAGTACATTCCAAACACTCCCCAGAAGCCGCCTAAGCCTCTTGCTACCAAGAGCCATCGGACTTCCCGATGCCCGAAAGGAAAGTGCGGTGTCTTTGTATACCACATGTAGAGAGATGCCAACACAACGGTGATCGACATACGGGCGAACAGGATNCTTCGATGGTCAGAACAGCATGTGATATTGGGCTTGATGCTCAGAATACGCACTTGGAATGGATGCAGTCCTTTGCCCTTGTTGCCTTCGATCTCCAGTATTCGAGTAGTAACGTTCATCATGACACCGAACACCTGGGCAAGTAACATGTAGAAGAGACCAGCATTTCGTACCCAACTAGCATGGAGCTTGGCCTGCCACTTTGCTGTCCAGGATGGTTTCAGTTGTTGATGTCCCCCATCTAACCAGACAGATGGCTCGTTGTTCCGGGGACCGAGCTGGCTGAACTCTTCTACAGAAAGATTGGATAAAGTGTCTGGAGATAATGGTCTATGCGGTGCTCTGTACTGTGGAGGTTCGAGAAAATGAGATTCGGTCTGCTTGGTTGAGTCGTATGTTAGGTCAGGAAAGGCCTTCTCCCCGATTGTTTGAACATCTTCGTTGGCCTTCTCTTCATTTGCTAATGATTCGTGGACTGGTGTAGCAGGTCTACTCATGCTGTCTCGGAGAACGAAAGTCTTGGTGGAGTCAAAGGCCGTACAGTGCTTAACAATGACTGCGTATGGATTGAAAACCAAAGGGAAAGACCGCTTACATGAAGACTACTCACATACGGAGCAGACTGTGCCCAGCAACACCGCAAGTGCATGTCCCTGTGCCGGCTAAGGTAGGCACACGACCGCGGGACAAACTCTGGCCAATCATCCACTTTTGCTTTTCTCATCTTTCGTCATCGTCGCGATATCGATGCCAAAACGGCTCTGCTTGGCTCGATACCTCTATTCCGTTTACTCCGTCTACTCCGTATCTCGCTCGGCATGATTGTGTCCAACCGAGTGTCGAATGGTTGCTGGGCACAGGTTTGAGGTGTTTCTAGCATGTGAGAATATGACTTGCAATGCTCCAAATGCGAGCAACAAGACTTGTCCGAGGTGTTGCCCAACTTCGCAGAAGGTTCACGACGAAAAACATCAGGGTTCAGCTTGAGCGTCCCTGCTTCCCCTCAATCCTTACCCGGGCCCGGTTCGATCGTGCACGCTCGTGGCACGTCACATGCATGCAACAATTGTGCTGAGTCTGTACCTGCTTTCGACCCGACATCGGTAGGCTCTCTAACGATTAGATAGATTACAGACTCACTGCTGTTACCATAGACAGACACAAGGTCCTTTTCAAGGGGTCTATGGTAGCGATATGCTCATATTGTCATCTATGGTGGAAAAATGTATAAACAGATATGATGGTAAGTCAATTCGATCACTCAACAGCCGATGTTTTCTCGCCGTACATGTGGAATTGCATGAAGATGACGGCGTCTTCGAAGATCGTTCCGAGAGACCCAATGAGCCAAGGCAAGTTCTTGAGGAAGTACTGTTTCTCAACAGAATGCAACAGGATNCTGGGTGTGTCAGTAATTGCAGAGCAGAGAAAAATCATTGAAGGACATACCCCTGCACCGTAAGTAAGGTTTCCCATGAGCGAGAGCAAAAAGAACAGAAGTGACAGGCCTTCGCAAGATCGTTCGCGATGGTTCTTGATGATTTGAGGAATGCGAGCNACTTGGACCATGTTAGCATAAGACTGGGGCGCGTGTTGCGAAGAGGAAGCGTACCCGAGATAGCACACAGCACTGGCATAGCCAAGAACCTCAGCACCGACGGGCATGTGTCTGCCACCGTCAGATACGTCTACGGGAGTTGGTTTCCAGGCGCCGGCTCTCCAAGCAATGGCCCATCCTGCGGCTCCAGCGATGAGGATAATTGCAACGCTAAGGGTATTCTTCAGCCAGGCAGTAGAGCCTTGGCCCTCCTCGAGAATGTTGCTAAGGCTGTTGCTACGCTCAGCACTGCTCCTCGTACGTCTGCGACTGGCAGCACTGCTGCGTCTTCTGCTACCAGGTAGACCAAGGTTGTCTTGTTGCTCGGCGAGCAGAGGGGCGCTCTCATCGATGACGGGGTTCTCGGCAGCGGCAATGGAGCGCTTGCGTTCGCGACGGGCATTCAGGGTGTTGTAGTAGAAGCATTGCGACAGCAGAACGGCATCGGCGAAACAGAAGTAGATGGCGAGAGCGATGACGGTGGGCACGAGATCAGCCCAAAGAGCGCCGGCGAGGTTGGTGATGTCGCCGGCCATCCATACCAGTAGGAAGGTGATGGAGATGCCGTCTGCAGAGGATTGACGGTAGTTCTCAATCAATTGGGGCACCNNTAGTAAGAATGAGTCAGGCACAGGTGTATGCGACAGACGCGACGAAGGGATTTTTACCAGCAGGAAGATCCAGCAGGCCAGCGAGATGCTCCCGGCGATACCAGAGAAGGCCTCATGCACCGTCAAAGATACATGTTCCAGCATTGTCAGTTTTTGGTAGTCAATTGACCAAGCGAAGATGGTGGTTGTCAGTGTCACGGTAGAATTGCAGCCATTGGGTTTGCGGGATGCTGACCTTTGCGTCAAGGGCCCGTGTCCGAGTCTTATCTTGATTTTGTTCTCTTATCGCAGGTCAACAGCTGTGGTGCAATGCCTTCATTGACAACAAGCACCATCTCGTTGGCATCAGCCTGTTGGCATCAGCTGTCTGGATCTCTCAAAAGTTCCACTGTGCCATACGAGTCGGCATGGCAGGACAGGCCTCTTCGTGCTTTCGTTACTTGTGCGTTGCCTCCTGAATGCACAAGCTGTTCCGTTCGATCTTTGTGCTGTCTATCTATGCAAGCTCTTCCCTTGCAAAAGTCGTATGTCTTGGGCTGCAATGCACATCCCATCATTGAAACTTGCAAGGGTGTAATGCACATCGGCATGTGTCACTATCCTTGCAAACCACTCGCGCGAGCAACTGATGGGTGTCAGGTCGCATACAAGCGACGAAAGAATGGCTTGGTGTCGATCTCAATAGTAGCTGCTGTCAACCAAGCACTGCCGCGCGCCATCGCATCACCCTTCTCTTGCCTCTAAACCAAGATTTTGAACCCAAAAACCCGCCCATCTCACAACCTGTGACGGACAAGGAAGAGTCAGCTAAAGGTTAGATCATCTCTTGGTCCTGTCGTCAATCCCGAGCCCGTGGAAGTGGGCACGCTCAGGGTCCATTGAATAGAGTTTGGCGTCGATCGGCCGTTCGTCCATGATTAGTCTGTCTCCTGGTGAGGCCGAGATTGTCGTAGTTGAGCGCAGTATGCTCTGTATATGGCGAGTGTCTGACAAAGGCGGTTTCGAGTCGTCGCAGACCGAGTGAAATGCTGTCAAGCTCCCGCGACTGCTTGAAATCTAAATTGTTAGGATCACGGGCCGCCGTTGGGCTACGATTTTAGGTTACCGAGGAGAATGAACTACTCGTGCATGATCGATAATTTGTGTTGCACAGGCAATAGGTCGTAAGTGCCGGATGCTCTCACACTCTTTGCTTCCAAAGACAAAACTCTTGCAAGCCCCTGGGAGAAAGGAAGGCCAAGTTGCTTGCCTTGCGCCTTGTCGACCGTCAGCCATTCCAATTTGCGGGGATATCGCTCCCTCCTTGCCTCCTGGCTGCCCCTCGGCTCACTCAGTCGTCATTCGTTGTACTTTGGCAGCGACTTCGATCTCGACCAAGTCCATCGCCATTTCCCTGCTTCGCATTCCACGGATCTAGCTGCAACAAACGTATTCAAGTCTTGCTTACAACAACGTAACATCATTCGCCCTCTACAAGCAGAGCAATGACTGTGCATCAAAGCCAAACATACTTCTCTTGATTAACGCACCAACTTGCTCCCATCAAGACGGCATGCCTGTGACCTCTCCCTGTCTTCACACAACCACGAGAACAACGAGATAGTGTGAACGCAGTCGACCGTCTGAACACATACACCGCGAATAGATGCATCACCGGCAATTCTAGACTGAACCATGGCCGGCCTCAAGGATATCACTTACTCGTCCGAGGAGACGGGTGTCTCATCAGACCGGCAGTCTGAAGCTCCTCCTCTCGACCGCAAGTACATTCGTGCTAGCCACGACTACCAACCTGAACACACTACCATCTCTGGGTCCTCGGGTGGCATCTCTATCACCGCACCTCTACGAGAAGGCGACATCGTTCTCATACATCTCACTCATCCGAACGGCTGGGCTGATGGTACCATACTTTCCACCGGGACTCGAGGCTGGATACCTACCAACTACTGTCAGGTCTACGATCCTCGACCGATGCGAGCTCTCCTTCATGCATTGACTAGAATGTGGGATTACTTGAGCTTGGGTGCAAACGACGAGACGTTGTTCGAGGACAGGCAGGATTATGTTCAAGGTCTTGTAGCTGGTGTTCGACGCTTGCTGGAACACTGCGACTGTCTACACAGAGATGATGCCATGATCAGGAGACATATTGCCTTGAGGCGAACTCGAAAAAGTCTCTTGGCAGATCTTTCTGGTCTCTTGAAGAACCGCGAGGAGATACACAATACCTTTTCCGACTCTTCTGATGCCGTTGTATGGTCGACCGTTGACGAATACTTGTCCAACGCTTTCAAAATAGCATGCAGAGGTGCTCGCTTCCTCGATATCTGGGCCCAAAGCACTTCGCCGAAGCAAAGACGATCGAGCACGCGTCACAGTGAGGTCTTCCAAAGCCCTCGGACTGCAAGAACCTCGTTGCATGCAGGACTTTCGTCCTCTCCTTTGCCTGATGTCGACGAGGACTCACTCCGACCATTTCATCCCGATCTGGCCAAGAAGACACCAAGGTTTCAGCTCCGAGTTCTTGAATATGACGAAATCTCCCAAAACTCGAAGGTTGTTGACGAGCACTTTGGCCCGGAGCTGACCTCAGAAGGACTTTATCAAATGTTTTCGTATGACACACCGTCACAAGTGCGATCGTCGCCTATCGCTTCAGGTTCGGTGCCTGCGGTCATGAGTACGCTCGCTTTGACTGGAGGAGACGTGTCTGATTTGGCATCTGAACGTCTCACGGCCGCTCATGAACAGTTCTTGGGCGATATCGGTGCCTTCATTGGCCTCCACCTACAATCTAGGGCGTCTCTGGACCTGGCAACGACAACAAGACTCTCGATAAAAGCAGCTGAGGATTTGCTGGTAATTGTCGGTAAGATATCGGAGCGGAATATTGGTAAATGTCAAGGCATTGCAGTAGCCTCGGAGAATATGAGAATGAAACTCAAGATGCTCGCAGAGACTGCAAATCGCTTGTGCAGGGTTCCCGCAGACTCAAACGACCCCGAAATTATAGAAGTCGTGGGCCCAGAAGATGGTCGAGGTCTTGTGGCTGCAGCAACCGCGTGTGTCCGCGCCGCAGGTGACTGCACCGCAAAAACGCGAAAGTTTCTCGATTATACAAGTGGTGACTTCTTCCTTCCATCTGGCACCTCTCAAGGACAGCATGAGGAGTCTGGCCCTGGTCGCTTGGTCGAAAACGTGGAACCACCTGGGGAGATTACAACCGGTAATTGGTCGGATGCCGCTGCCGGTGCCGCTAACCCGCAACATCGCAATTCAACCGAGACTAACCTTGCTATACGAGGCTTACCACAGAGACCTTCATATCTATTGCGCTCAACCACCGATGATACCAACAATTTCACACTCTCTACGGTCTTTCCGGATGGGAATATGCGCAGGCCCGATTCTTCTCCACCACTAATAACATGTGATACGCCCGTCTCACCCACTTCACCAACAGCATCCGAGCCACCATTACAGTCACCACCACCACCTGCAGATGAGTCACCGGAACAATACCAGCAGGACCATAAGGAACACTGGACCCCACCACCGGATAGAAAGGGGAGCCTTGGAATGTCGACGACAGAGAGCTCGAGCGCCTATCAAGACAGTTTGAGAAACTCGCTCGCCAGTGTAGCCTCACCAACATCGACCAGGGCCACGACACCTGACCGATATCAGCGACATATTCGGGGCAATCCAAGTCTTTGTACTCATGGCAGTGTTTTGAGTGTCGCGACGACCGCTAACGGCAGTGAACACGATGCCGAAGTCCTGATGAGGTCACATGCTCATGAGTTGCTTTACAACAAAGACGGACAGATTGTTGGTGGGACTCTAGCAGCTCTCGTCGAGAAACTCACAAGTCAACATGGTCCACCAGAACCCGAGTACAATACGGCTTTCCTGCTCACCTTCCGTCTCTTCACAAATGCTGTGGAGCTGACGCAGGCACTGATTACTCGGTATGAATACGCTGGGGACTGCAACTCGGACAGTTTTCCTGCACGTCTTAGGGTGTATAATTTCTTCAAGACCTGGCTCGAGTCCCACTACTTGGCTGAGAGCGATGCGTCCGCCTTGGAGATGATACACAGATTTGCAGTCGAACGACTGAGCCTCCAATTCTCGGGACCAGGCCAGCGTCTGGCCGGACTAACCAAAATTGCCTCCCAAATCGAAGCAACCAGCATGGAGAATCAGTTGGTTTCTGCTATTGGCAAGACCTATGTTGCTCTGGGAAGCGAATATGAGAAAACTATCATACCTCATGCCAACATCAACAAGGAGCAGTTGTATCTTCTGACCGGCGCTTTCCCTACCAAGAAACTCACTCTCTTGGACTTGGACGCTGTCGAGATCGCTAGACAACTCACCATCATAGAGTCGAAGAAATTCTGTGCTATATTGCCTCACGAGTTACTCGGTCTCGAGTGGACGAAGAAGAATGGACAAGCCGAAAATGTCTTGGCCATGTCAAAGTTTTCGACAAATCTTACCAACCTTGTTGTCGACACCATACTCGGTGCTGATCAACTCAAGAGACGCGTCGCTGTTCTCAAGCATTGGATCAAGATCGCCAAGCAGTGCCTCGATATCGACAACTATTCGGCTCTCATGGCAATCTCCTGCTCTCTCACCACCTCGGCAGTCTCTAGACTCCGTCAAACATGGGATCAGCTGCCGCCCAAGACAAACGCCATCTTCGAGGAAATCAAGGGGGTAGTCGATGTATCACGCAACTACGCGGCTCTCAGACACCGTCTGCAAACACCAAAAGCGCCGTGTCTGCCATTCGTGGGCATGTATCTTACCGATCTTACCTTTGTGGATGCTGGTAATTCGAACACTAGGCCTTTGCCCAGTGACAACGACTATGGTACTGAAACGAAGATGGTAATCAATTTCGACAAACACATGCGTTCAGCACGAGTCGTGAGTCATCTGCAGCGTTACCAAGTTTCCTATCGTCTTCAACACGTACGTGAGATACAGGACTGGTTGGAGATACAGCTCGATCGTGTGAATACGAGCGACCAATGTACTGTGATGAGCTTCTGGCGGCGCAGTCAGGCACTAGAAGCACGCAGAAAAGAAGAAGAGCGCTCTGAAACAACCGACGCAAGAGAAAAGACGTTCAGCAGTGGCTTCATGGGCAGTATGCTTCGACCACGGACAAAGGCCAGTACAACCGGACTCAACTCGTTTCTGCACCGGGTCAAAACAGGAGGATCGAGTCACTCCACTGAGTGAGGGTCCATCATTTGGGAGAGGGTATTATACATTTTCACTACTGGCGTTACTGAAAGAGAAGGACAAACTGAGAGAATAGCTGGACTATGGATATGGAGTTATGGGAGATACCACTTTCTTTTTTGGATTGGCTGAAAAGAGCGCGATATGATTTTCCTATTTTCTTCGCTTGGAGTATCAGTCACTGGCAAGAGGAGGCAGAGTTTATGAAAGAACATGTTGTACATGGTAACTTAGAGGCAGCATCTTGCTAAGTTAGTATGAAGGAACGACCGTCCCATTCACCCCGTACATTTTACCCTCACCCCTTTCCATCTTGGATAAGTTCGTCAGACCATTCGTTTACGTCCTCCAAGTTGTAGATCTCAACAAGGTAGCATGGCTTTTCTGAGGGATAGTCAATTTCATGATGGAATGATGGACAATCGATAAGAGAGGATGCGTTCATGCATATGATATATAGAAGCAGGGTCGCACTTCCTACAAGCACATCGATGACGTTGATGGTATTGAAACGATGACGAAGATCACCAGATCAATTCATACATATCCCCACCCATTGTAAAGCACATGTCCCCTCTCTTCTTGCTCTCTTCTCCTCTCAATCACCAAATGTTTCCTACCCACCTCGCGACAAGAACAAGCACACTTGTCCGCAACACCGCACCAAGAACCTTTGCACCTTTCACACGCACCTTCCTCACCACAACTCCCCTCTACGCCAAAGACGACAAAATGTCCACCTCCCCGCCCAAGCACGAAATGGTCTACTTTGACTCCCTAACCTCCAAAGTACGCGCTTTCGGCCAATTCAGAAAAGTCATCCACACGGGACTTTATTCGCAGTTGGTCACCATGGAAATTCCCGTCGGAGGCGACATTGGCAATGAAGTGCATTTGGTAGACCAAGTGTTGATTTTCACAAGCGGCACTGGCAAAGCTGTTGTTGCCGGCAAAGAACAGGTGAGTTTTTTTCTTTGGCTTCTTCTCTCCTTTTTACAGATGGGCAAAGGGAAAAGAGACTGGGGCAAAGAGAGCTGACAATAGAGGTATAACNAGGATATCAAAGCTAGTGATGTGGTTGTCGTTCCTGCGGGAACGGAACATCAGTTTTACAATACGAGCAAGGATCAGCCTTTGGAGTTGGTTACGGTGTACAGTCCTGCCGAGCACGATAGCAGGACTGTGCACAAGACTCNNAAGGAGGAAGGCGATGAAGAGNAGGATGCTGGCAAGGACGAGGCGCCAGAGTGGAGCAGACAGAGCAAGGATGCTAATGAGAAGAAGGGCCTTGTCAAGGAGGAGGGCGGCCCCTATGAGAATGGCGACGATGGTCGTCATGGCCGTAAGGTCGAGTAGGATGGCGATATGATTCGCCTTGCCTCGCCTTGAATATATCATTAACGTGTCACGAACAATAACTGATTCCTTGTTTCAAACCATCCATTGGAAGGGCTTGACCTTCCACCATTTTGGCACAACGTGATGACTATCGAATCGAATCCATCCCAGCGTAAACATTAAACAGAGTTTCATTACAGAATGTATCAAGATACAATGCTATCATCGAGTGAGAAGACACCACCCCATGTACCCTCGACCACGTCTCAACAACTCTGTTGATCATAAATGGCGTTTCCATTGTGGTCAATAACACCAAAGCTAGGCGACGCTTGGTAATCCTGGTGCACATACCAGAAAATGTGCACTTGCTTAAACGCAGAACAAGCGATCTGCTTCCAGAAAGTTTGAGCATTCTTAACGCTGGCAACTCCGTTGCCGTATTTGGGACCACTGACTGGCCATCCTGTCTCGGTGACCCAGACCCATTTGCCTGGAGAGACCTTGTCGACGACGCCGCGGACTTTGTTGATGGCGCTCCAGAATGCGTTGCTTGCGTTTTCGATACTGCTGCCTTCAAAGTATGGGTATGCATCNTGGAGAACGTTAGTGGTGTGTCCACGAGTTGTGATTATCGCAGGCCTTTACTCACCCAGACCGATGAAATCTGATGCTTTGACGACTTCAGTGTTGGCAGAATCGACCCAGGCAGTCCATGTGTCGACATGTCCAACTTCCTTGTTCACGCCCATGGCGCGAACCATACCGCGAACGTCGTAGATTTTCTGTGCAAGGGACGATGCACTGATCTCCTTGCGATACAGGTCTTCGCTTCCAACGCTGATGGCAATGATCCAGTCTTGACCGTATTTCTTGATGGCGCTCTCGAGGGCATCCTTTTCCCGCTTGAAGTGGCCTTCATCCTGAGTCCAAACACCAACGAGCAGCTGAGTTCTCGTGGAGATGGCGGCAGGGACGGCCAAAGCCAAAGTGTTACAGTCCGAACTCGCGTATAGACGGACAGAAGTGAAATGGCCAGGAAGCGAGGCTAGCTTTTGGAAAGCAGAAACCCATTGGGCTTGTGTTTTGCAGGAGCCATCGGGGTTTTCGGCGGCAACATTAAAGCCTTTCCAGTATGCTTGGGTAAAGGGTACCGCGGCGAGCAAGGCAGTGGCCACGCTGAACAACTTCATTGTGTAGTTTTGTATGTGGATATGATGAGGGCAGAGTGTATGCTACGCGTAGCAATGGACGCGTTGTAGTATTAGGCGAAGAAAATACGGTATCCAATGCAGACAGGTAAGTGTAGTTGATGGAAGACTAAAACACAAGGGTTTGATGCTTTTGTTGTGATGAACAGCAGAGAAAGAAGAGAAAACACAAAAGAAATCAACAATTAGGACCTGCCTTGTTATGACTTCTGCGAAAGAAACTAAAGGGGCGAGGGCGACTATGGCTGTAACGGCGGCAAAGTCCTGTATACACGATGGCGCAAGAACTGTGCCACTTGCTCTTTCCCTTGAAAAGTGATGAAGGCGCTATCGGGTATCTATCCGAGAATCTATACCATGCTAAGATGCGTGCCCAGTCCGTTAATATCAAGATGAAACTTGGGCACTTTTTCATCGTCCTCCACACTGCATCAAGCCCAGACCGTTGGGTGTGGTCAGTGGGCGAGCCTGTGCTGCTGTACAGACGTTCATCCACGCGACGACCCCTGTTCTCAAAGCCATGAGGTGATTGTGGATCGAAAGCGCATCTCCTTGGGCCTCAGCAAAGCGCTTTCCAGATTGTGTGGTTCTACGAGTGCGCGGGGGACGAGAGCGAGAGAGTCGAAATGAAAGGACACTGACCAAAGACCCCACATGGGACAGTGACGATGAAACGTCACTGCACCTTGCTATTCTCGTCCACAGCCATCTTTGACCATGCATTGCCATCTTCGCCATGGGCAGCAACACGCGCCCCGGCTACACTCCAGCCCAGATCCATCAATACTACGATCGCATCAACCTCCCTGAACGATACCGCCACGAGCCCGGCAATGCCAGCACAAACATTGCTGCTCAAACCCCTACTGGCCTCGAGTTTCTGAGTGCCCTCCAACGCTACAACCTCGCCCACATCCCCTTCGAGAACCTGGACTTGCATTACAGCTCCCACCACAGCATCAGTATCGGTGCCCAAGAGATATTCGACAAGATTGTAGTAGGAAGAGATGGAAAGAAAGGACGAGGTGGATACTGTATGGTCAACAATGCCCTCTTCGCCAACGTCCTTCGCGGTCTCGGCTTCTACGTTACTAGCCATGGTGCACGCATCAGTAGTTCCGTGAGCGCAGCAAAGGACATCCCTTTGGATAAAGTCACTTTCTCAGGCTTCAGTCACATGGTCAATCTCGTCTCGTTCCCCGACAACCCAGCCCTAAAATACCACGTTGATGTCGGGTTTGGCTCTGGTGGTCCTACCTTCCCTGTGCCTTTGCAGCACGACGAGAAGGGTAGAATCAACATAGAGCCAAATCAATGGGCCAGAGTTGTCCACTCACCCATCCCAGGCACTGCCTCTGACCAAAAGTTCTGGGTTTACGAAAAGCGCAATGGCGATTCAAATTGGTCTCCTTGCTACTGTTTCGCCGAAACAGAGTTCCTCGAGTCGGACTTTAGAGTCATGAATTATTGGACCAGCACTAGCAAGGATTCTTGGTTTACGCAAATGCCTGTTTGTCTCAAGATGCTGCTGGATGATAGTGGTGATAGAATTGTGGGCCACATGCATATCCTCAAGACTGACTTTAAGAAGAGGGTCGGTAAAGATGCGCTGGTTAGTAGAGAGTTGAAGTCGGAAGATGAGAGGACAAAAGTCATTGAGGAAGAGTTTGGCATTCCCTTGAACGAGGAAGAGAGGAAGGGTATACACGGCATGGTTTCTGAGATAGCATAGAATTGATTGTAGACTTGATCGCGTGTACCGCTATTGTAAATGCACATAGACAGAAGAAAAGAGAGCAATGATTATGATGATATTCAAGAAACCTATCAACCAAGGCCAACTCTCTTACTTCCTCTTCGCACTCAACGACTTTAGCGGGTCCGACTTTTTCCTTCCCTTGCCTTTACCCTTCATTCTATTCTGCATTCTCGCCTTTCTGATCCTGTTTTCTCCACTCTTGCCGAAACCAACAAAACCTCCATCTCCAGAATCTTGTGCCACCGCCGAGTTTCCTGGCAACAGATACTCGGGCACATGTTTCAGATGCGGCTGCACGCGAACAGCATGACTCTCCTGATCGTGCCTCAAATGCTGCAAGTCCGTGGGATTCTCTTCGAAATGGCGTTTGAGCTTTTCCGACTTGAGCAACTCGGAGCGAATCTCGCGGATACGGGCTTCGCGGATGGCGATGCGGGTGACTGAGCGCAGAGCATCGGTCATACGGTATCTGAAGCCATCCAGACGCTTCATGTCAAAGTGGTAGGGCAGCACTTGTTGATTCTTCTTTTCTTGCTGGCGGGTGATTTTGGCGAGGACTTCTTCGTCGTGTTCGGCCGAGGGGATGGTGGTGGGTTTGTGTTTGCGGTAGAGAGGTTTGGGGACGACAAAGGAGAGGGCCATGCCGGATTTGCCGGCGCGGGCGGTGCGGCCGATGCGGTGGGTGTAGCTGCGGGATGAGGTGGGCAGGTCGAAGTTGAGCACGCAGGCGACATTCTTGAAGTCGATACCACGCGAGACACCGAATTCCTTGTCGAGCTTTGAGCGCTTTTGCTTCTTCTTTGGCTTTTCTTCCAATGTCTTTTTCTTCCTTCTCTTCGTCGTCGTTATCGGCAGCCATCCCTTCTGGAGCAGCTGGTTCTCCTTCAACAGCAGTGGCTTCAGCATCATCATCATCGGCAGCCTCAACCTTCCTCCTCTTGCGGCTCGANNCTTTTCCTCGTTTCCAACAATTTCGCTGTCGTCGCTGGCAATGATGATGTCGTAAACACCACGGTTGAACTCGTCCACGACGTGCAGTCTCGAGTTGACGGGCAATTCCGAGTTCAAGATACAACTCTTGATACCAAACTGCTCGAGGAACAACTTGAGACGGTAGCAGCGGTCGATGTCGCTGACAAAGACAATGCACTTGCCCTTGATCAGCTTGAGCATGAAGATGGCGTAGATGAGCAAGAACTTTTCGTCCTCTCCGCACTGGACAACGTATTGTGTGAGGGCCGACTGTTCCTTCTCTTCCTGGTCGAGTTCGAGGAGAACGGGGTCTTTGCAGAACATGCCCTTGAGAGTGTCGACTTCGGTTCGTAGCGTGGCGCTCATGAGAACGGTTTGTACCGCTTGAGGGATGACCTTGGACAGATTTTGCAAGTCTTCATCGTGGCCATATGAAAGGACAAGGTCGGCCTCGTCGATTACAAGATGTGTGAGATTTTGTAGTTGCAAAAGAGAGGCGTTGACGAGGCTGGTCGCTCTCGAAGGTGTGGCAATAACGACATCGGGAGCTTCAACTAAGCGGGCGTGGGCGACCTTGTCATCTTCCTTGCGAGTCAAATTCTCAATGCGCACTTCTTGACCGCAGAAGGCAGCAAACGCAAGGGCGACCTTTGCAACCTGGCCAGCAAGTTCGCGAGTGGGGACCAAGACGAGAGCCGAAGTTGATTTCGTTGACGAGGGCTGTGCAGATTTACGATGTAGGATGGATTGGAGAATGGGGAGGAGGTATGCTGCCGTCTTGCCAGAGCCGGTTCGTGCTCGCGCTGTTTCGTGTTAGCCATGCAACTTGACGGCATGAGAGGCAGATGACCAACCAAGGATATCCTTGCCCGACAGAGCCAGAGGAATGGCACGGGCTTGCACAGCAGTCGGAGCCGCAAACTTCTCCTTGTTGATGGCCTGCAAAAGGCGCGCATCCAGTCCCAGTTCGGCAAATGTCTTTACTGTCGGTGTCGTCGTCTTTTCCACCTTTTCTTCCATCTCCGTCACGGCCTCTGCCACCTCGGGCACGTCCTGGTCGTTCAACTTGCGCTTCATTGTGATTTGTGATTGTGGTTGGGATATGCGTGTTTGCTGCTCTTGCAAAGAAATAAATCGAGAACTTTTGTCAACCCGCTCGGACTTTCGCCCCGGACTTTTGCGACCAATGCCAAGTCGTCCACCGCCTTTGATCCTTCCCTTTTCGTCTTCGACATCTACATCCTCTTCTCAAACAGTGTCCACCAAGAGCAACAGTTTAGCAGCTCTCTTCGGACATTACTCGTCTTTGAGAAGCAATTGTGTCTTTTCATGGTGCGCAATTCGCTCGTCGCCTCTGAGGGAAGGTTAAACTTATAGACTCCAGCACATGAGAAGGATACAACCAAAAGAACAGGAGTCATCAATATTGCATTACTCATATCTAGGTGTCGTATGTGCTTCTAGTTCGACTTCTTCGATGTCTTTCCCTTGGTGCCAGCCTCGCCCTTTGCGTGACGTGTCGCTTGTTGGTGTTCAATCCTTTTCAAAGGTCTGTACTCGGCATCCCACATCTGAGCCCTGATCCACTGCTCTAGCTCCTCGTCCTTCTCAGGAATACCTTCTTGTTGGGTCAGCTTCTCCTCCCTTGCCTTCTTGATCACTGCTGCTGCAATCTTGACACTGATCTCGCGAACATTGGTCACATCTGGCAACAGTCCATCATTGGGGTCCTTGAGCGCTGGTGCTTGAGCTGCGAGCGCCTTGGTTGCTGCGACCAACAAAGGTGGCGACATGAGCTTGGTTCTGGACAAGATGGCTCCCAGTCCAATGCCGGGGAATGTCGTGCTGTTGTTGCATTCTGCGACAACGTACTTCGTGCCATTGTACTCGACTGGATCGAAAGGTGATCCGGTTGCCATGAGGGCCTTGCCTTCTGTCCACTTGAAAAGATCGTTGGGGTCCGCTTCGTGCAGCTTGGTAGGGTTTGACAGAGGGAAGATGATAGGGCGGTCAGTGTGCTTGGCCATCTCCTTGATCACCTCCTCCGTGAAAGCCTTGGGCTTGGTGGATGTACCGATCAGGATGTGAGGCTTGACTTCGCGCACGATCTCGAGCAAGTCGTCGTGCTTTTTACCTTTCCATTCCTCATCATCGCGAGCGTACGGATGCTGGGCTGGCGTCAAATCGTCCTTCATTGATTGCAAGAGTAGACCAGGTTTGTCAACACANCCTAAATCCGGACTGTCAGTACTGGCGATACTTCAAACGTAATGCCTGACTTACCAGATCTGTTTCAAGGCATCCTCCTTAGACTTGTCAGACTCGACAGCAATTGCATCTGTGACTTGATCTGCGATACCAGTACCAGCGGTTCCGGAGCCGTACATCAAGACACGGATGTCCTTCATCTCAAGTTTTGCGACCTTGAGGGCAGCGTAGATTGCAGCCAAGGTAACACATCCAGTGCCTTGGACGTCGTCGTTGAAGCAAGCAATTTTAGGGGTGTACTCGTCCAAGATGCGACGAGCGTTGGGTAGGCCGAAGTCTTCAAAGTGGATGTACGCGTTAGGGTATTGCTTCCTTGCTGTCTTAACAAAGGTGTCGACAAGCTTGTCATACTTCTCTCCCCTCACTCTCTCCTGACGAAGACCGAGATACAGATCGTCCTTGAGGAAGTCCTTGTTGTTGGTGCCAGCATCCAGCACTACGGGAAGCGTGCGGTGAGGGTGGATTCCAGCACAGAGAGTGTAGATAGCCAGTTTTGCGACGGAGATCAGGATACCTCCTACTCCCTGGTCGCCAATGCCCAGAATCTGCTCGCCATCACTGACAACGATAAGATCGATGTCGTCAGGACCACCCCACTGTGACATACTTTGCTCAACCTTCTCCGGTTCGTTGACATTGAGGAAGCAACCTTCAGGGCGACGGAAGAGGGTCGAGTAGTTGCTGATAGCTTCACCCTCTGTAGGTGTATAGATGATAGGGAACATCTCCTTGAGGTGATCTTGGATCAGTTTGTAGTAGAGTACTTCGTTCTGCTCCTTCAGACTGGTCATGAAGGTATTCTTTGCGAGATTGTCTGATCTCGACTTGAACTGAGAATATGCTCTCTTGACTTGCTCATCGAGAGTTTGAACATTGGATGGTAGCAGACCGATGAGATCGAAGTCATCACGCTCCTCTTCGGTAAAGGCACTGCCTTTGTTCAGGTAGGCGCACGACAGCAGCTCAGATCCNCTACAGCATACAGGTCAGCTATGTCTCCAAGACACCTAGGTAAGTCATTGACAATCACTCACTGTCAGAGCGCATTCCATAGCTTTGTTAGTAGCCAGNGGAAGATGGCTAAACTCAGTTGTCTTGTTATCAGCCATTATGGTTGTTTTGCTAAATGCTCGAGTCCAGTTAAGTTGCTTGACAGCTGTGCGATGGTTAGAAAGACAAGACCTTAACAATCGTGAGGACATCGGCCACTATTTCAGCATTGATGGAATCGTTTGAAAACACTTGTGGACAGGATGTTGTAATGTCCTTCTTGCTATCCTGTTGTTACTCGGCATGACGTGGATTCTGGTTAGGTAGGACCGAGTCGGAACTCGTGCATGCCGCGGGAAGCGGAACAAAACGTCGTGGGTTACGTTCGACTTCGGCCTTTTTGTATGTTACTACTCGAGTACATCTGAACGTGTCTCATGGCAATGCAAAGAAAGGTATAAGCTATCAAGGGGCACACTGCCTCCGGACGAGGCATGGGATGACCCAATGATTATTAGCTCTCGGGCCATTGCCTGTCGCTACACCTACTACACAACGATACAGATTGAAGTGCAGCGAATGCAGAGGATGCAAGTAGCTATTAATCCGAGCACAAGTTTATGAGAATGTTTGTGAGATGTAAAATGGGTCATTGCTGATGGTATCTATAAGAACTGGGTATCATAATCGTAAGAGCATCAACGAGTCAGGGAGAGTCGGAACAAAACAGGACCATCTAAAGGGCCTTGTCGGTGGTTCCTCTTCTGACAAAGTCGCCAGTTTGGAACTCCTGTTCACCTCCGCGTGCGACTTTCTCGTTTTTTGCCAGGGAAGCGTTGTCGCCAGTGAAGCCGTCAATGGCAGCGTTGACATTGCCACGAATAGACTCGCCGATGCCCNNTGCAGACTCGTCAGAAGGAGGTTTTGAGACGTAGAGCGAAAGACTTACGTGACCCTTAGCGAACATGCCCTTCAAGCCTTGTCCAGCCTCGGCGCCCTTGGTGCCACTAGTGGTAGTGGCAGTGGCAGTGGTGTGTGTGCTTGTGGTGGGGTGATTGGAGCCCGCGGGGTTGGTGCCGGTGAAGTTGTTTGCAGACATGATGAAAATGTATGTGGTGTTGATGATATTTGCTTTTGAGAATTCAATTGGTGAGAACAGTCTTTGATTCAGGTCCGTCCTCCATTTATATCTTGTTCGAGTCTCAAGACAAAGACCTGACTGACGTTTTGACCTACGTCATAGTCACAGGTCTTGATCATGCTGACAACACAGTTCATCTCTACCAGTCGATCATTTGCACACCATGACGGATTATGAGACGCGTAGATTGGAGAATATCAAGCGCAACCAAGCCTTGATCAACGAACTTGGAATCGAGAAGGTCAAGCAAGAAACCTCGACCAAACGACCTGCCCCAAAGAAGCGCAAGCTCTCACCTTCATCCACACGACCTACACGCGTTTCAGCGCGTATAGCTTCGACAGACCGTCCTATCTACAACGATGAACCATCAATTACCCACGGCACCACAAAATCGGTGAAAAGAGGCGGAACGAAGAGAGTACAGAGCGTGACAGCAGACGCTGTCGAGACCAAAGCCCAGTCACCTCCACCAGACCTCGAAGACATACGAACAGGCTGGACTTCTTGGGAATCGGTCGCGTCGCCACCCACGAGGGACGATGATGGCACCTTCCACTTCGAGGGCCACCCGACCTTCTTACCGAACAAGTCACCTGTCGAGATGCTCGCAGAGGGTGCCTTTGGAGGCTCCTATTATCGGCCGCTGTACTCCAAGAGCCTACGCACGACGATAGAAGACGACTGGAAAGAGCTTCCTGCAGAATGGCTCAAAGACTTGAACGTCGAGAGATATCTCACCAGTCCAGACTATGATCCTGAGATCAACAAGTTCAGGGTCAAATGTGGACAGAGCATCGAAGAGTGGGAGGCAGCGGGATGGATAGCGCACGCGTACGATGTACGAGGCTGGTTCCAATGGTACACGCGATTCTGGCAGGGACGTCGTTGCGACGACGACGATAGACAGATTGGCCGATGGGAGCGCTGCGTTGGCGAGAGAGGGCGCTGGCGACGGATGCTCCTGAAAAAGTATCTACAGGCTGGAGTCAAGGAAGTCGCAGATGAAGGCGTTGACGAGGAAGAAGTCTCGCCAGTCATGCACCAGACGTGCCACCAGTGGGCCTGGGAGGTTCGCCAGCCATCTCTCGATGAAGCATGGGCTGGCCAGCTGTAGAAGAGGTCGCTCTCCAGGAATTGAAGCAAGGATGTTCACTGTACATAATTACCCCGAGGTCTCTCGGCCGTGCTCCTGCCCTGTCACAGAGATCAGACCCGCCGGGAGGATTTGTGAGCCCAAGAAGCATATGTACCGACACAGTTTCCATACTTATGCTGTTATTTAGAGAGCCTTATTCGGGTGCTGAAGGTACGATGAGAAACGTGTTCTTCTGTTTTCATGCAAAGTTGTGTCTGTCACGTGTAATTGGCAGCAGCTCGGTGAAGCGAAGCCATTCACGCACCTTGGACCTCCGATGCACCTCTGCACGCCTGAGCATCACATCTCCTTGCATCATAACTCAGAGCCATCGGCGTCCGAATGATTGCTCCATGTCATTTATCAGTCAGGTCCAGACCACGTCCGGTCTGAAGAAGATAGCTCACTGCTGGCTGTTCCAAGCAGCCTAAGCAGCAGAGTGTGTTGCACGCCCTGTTGTTTGCCGGACTTCCGCCATCAACCGCTACGATTGTATAGCCCTATCGATGAGCTCGTGTCGAGATAGAAAGCTGACAAAGTCACGTTCGTATTGCCGAAGCCTGCAACCACCTATACGCGCCCGGAAGTCCTCTCCTCCTGGCGACCGGCCTAGCGAAACCTGCGCTCGACCAGGACTGTCCAGTATCCCGATTCCGAGAAAACATTCCGGACGCTAAAGACTAGACGCCGTACGCTTCCTCCTCACGCCAATGCTGAAGAATGAAAACTTCGACAGAGAATATAAATCGAAATGCCAGTCAGGCTTCGCAGACCAGATCAGCTCTGATCAGTAGCTGGCTTACACAACAAGAGTGTGGGAAGCTGGGACCTCCATACAGTACTGGACATGGACACATCTCTTGTCTGTAGGTACCCATACCGAGAGACATCCAAGGTCATCTCTATCCACGAAAAAGCACGCTTTGTCCAGACAAGCTACGCGCCAAGTCTTTGCAACGAGCCTGTTTCCTGTTGTCCTCATTTCTTGCCCCTTGCTCTTTGACACACGTTTCCTGCTATCATATTTCACAAGGCCACGTCTGGAAGAGTGTGGACAGCTCTCGAAGCGACTTGATCTGGCCCTGCAGAACAGTTTCCCTTCAAAAGCCCAAGGAGACACCCAATCGGCTGCTGCTTCAACAGACTAGCAGCCGCGATGTCTCTATTGTACTTCTCGATCGCTCGAACGTGTGCACCTGGCCAACTTGACAGGAGAGGTGTTGTGGACTGTTTGCGATTACGACGTGGCCGTGCAACGTACATACGCGAAACGAATCCTGAGCTGCCAGCTTAAATACTCGAAGCCTCGGGCTGGCTCGGAATCTCGTCTACAATTCACAAACTGGGCAAGAAATATTCATGATGGTTTTTCAAGGTTGTCTGGCCAGCATAAAGCACGGATCTTTGACGTGTCGCGACTCGCGGCTTCCCAATTATTGGCGTTGGCGTTGGCGTCGCGTGCTGATGGAATAACGCATTCCCTTGCACGCTCATAACTCTTCAACCGAGGCCTCGAATCACAAGAGAACTTCACGAGGAAGGTAAGAGAACATCCTTCACCTTCAACGTAGGTACCCCAAGATCAGAAGTGGTTATCGCTGGTGAGGAAACGATTGCTGTCAAGTCACGTGGAAAGGGCCTTGGACGAAGCCGAAGTTCTGAAAGCTCGAGCTTCGCGTCCACTCTTCTCCTCAACACAACTCTTGCACCACAACTATTCCATCAATCCTCGCGCACATCATCGACAGACACAAAGTCGACATCCTCTTCCATCCGATAGCCTCTCCCGCATCCTCTAGCACCACCCAGCGCGTCTGTCGCGCCATCAACGCGTCCATCTACTACGTCACCACGCCGCGGTCGTACACTTCACAACATCACAATGAGTGAGGCCAATACTGCGCCTGTCGAGTCACAGGAGGCACAGAACGTATGGTCACGACACTGAACGCGTCAAAGATCGTCAGTCACTGACCGCCTGTAGGCTACCACAACCGAGGCCACAACTGAAGGCCCTTCAGCTACCACTGACGTCGCTGAGGGTGAGTACGACCTTCACATGTGTTGCGCCAATTGAACCTAACACGATCTAAGCACCTGCCACTACCGAGGCCATGGACACATCGGACGACAACACCGAAGGCAAGGAAAACGATGCAGCACTTGCTGGAGCACAAGCAACTACTGAGGTCAACGCACCAGACGGCGAAGGAAAGACTGAAGCAGCCATACTCCCATCTGATGTCACCGATGTCGCAACGCCCGCCGGCAACAAGAACGGAAAGAGAAAGTCCACTGGTGGTGTTCCGGAGCACAAGAGCAAGAAACTGAACAAGAAGAAGTCGGTAGCACAGCTGAACCTCGACATCAAGGCAGGCGACTACTACTGGGCCAGACTCAAGGGATACTCTCCATGGCCCTCGATCGTCTGCGACGAGGACATGCTTCCCGAAATCCTCCTGGGCAACAGACCCGTCAGTGCCAAGCGTGCCGATGGATCTTACCGCGAAGACTACGAAGACGATGGCAAGAATGCCAAAGACAGAACCTATCCTGTTATGTTCCTAGGAACCAACGAGTTGTGAGTATCATATCATCGCTATGCTGTGCGCATCGTATCCTAATTCATGTCGCAGCNNTCTTGGATGGTGAACACCTCCCTCACCAAGCTTGAGCCTGGTGACTGCACTCCTGACAAGCAAACTGGAAAGATGTCCAAGGCCCTGAAGGAGGCCTACGATATTGCCGAAGAACGTCACGATCTCGACTACTTCAAGAATATGCTTGAGGACTTCATGCAGCAACAGAAGCAGGCCCAGGAGGAAGAGGCCGCCAAACAAGCCGAGAAGGAGGCCAAGGCTGCTAAGAAGGCTGAGAAGGCCGCCGCAGACAAGACCAAGGAAAAGAAAGATCGTAGAAAGAGCAAGAGCAAGGAGACTGTTTCTGACGCGGACGATATGGACCTTGATGTCCCTGAGGACGCAGAGGCCAAGCCTACCAAGAAGAGAAAGAAGGATGCTGACAGCGAAGGCGAGGGTCCTAAGGTAAGAAGATCTAATTGTCATCACTCACGCACAAAGCTAACAAAGAGACAGCCCAAGAAGACCCCCAAGGCCACAAAGGTCGCAGCTACCAAGACTAATGGTGAATCGGCCAAGAAGGCAGCCAAGCCTAGAAAGGTTGTGCAAAAGCCTGCTGACGAGGAACCTGTCACCGAAGCCGAGAAGCTGGAGCGCCGCGAGAAGGCCGTCCTCTACCTACGCCACAGACTGCAGAAGGGTTTCTTGATGCGCGATCAGACACCCAAGGAAGACGAGATGTCTACAATGAACGACTTCTTCAACCAGCTTGAAGGCTACACGAACCTCGAGCCCGCCATTATCCGTGGCACCAAGATCTACAAGGTGCTTCGTGGTATCATCAAGCTTTCATCGATCCCTAAGGAGGAGGAGTTCCAGTTCAAGAAGAGATCAAACGATCTCCTTGCCTCTTGGCACGAAGCACTCGGCTCCAAGGGAGACGAGAAGGAAGATGACAAAGCTGAGGATAAGGACACCAGCGAAAAGGCAGAGAAGTCCGAAGAGATTGTCGAGAAGACAGAGTCCATGGAGCTCACTGAGGCTCCCAGCAACACAGAAGCTGCTGAGAACAAGGATGCTGCCATGACCGACGTGAAGGAGGACAAGGCCGAGGCCGCACCTGCTGCAGAGAGTGAGACTGCAGCCGCCGAGTAGGCGTCGATATCGCACGATGTCAACTCAAAAGATTTGCTACACATAGACAACCAAGTGTAGTTAAAAAGCCGTAAAAGGTCGGCTCACATTGCTTGCATGGTATTTGCTTTGAAACGGAGGCTTTGTTGTACAAGCGATAGCGTCTATTGCTACGAAACACAAACAGCGATGGAATTTTACCAAGAAGAACGCATCAAGCATATCTCGTCGTGAAACGTATTTGTTTATCGATGAATGTTTTGTATTTCATCATGTTTGCGACGCTGCCCACCCCGCGATCCCCGCACCTGTCAACAAAAAATGTTGGCGAGCAACATGATTGACAGCTCTCTCAAAGACACGACCCAAGCAAGATGGCGACTACACACGAAGCAGAGGCCTTGATCACCTCTCACGACCCTCACCACCCCGCAAATCTCATCTGTGAGCTCTGCAAGAAGTTCTACACTCTTGGATGGGTATGCCGATCCAGCGACTAGCAGTATCCACTCTAGTCAACCCAGCACTTACACCGTGTTCAGGTCACTGGAACGGGCGGTGGCACCTCGATCCGTGATGGCGAACGCATCTACATTGCGCCCTCGGGCGTTCAGAAAGAGCTCATGAAGCCTCAAGACTTGTTCGTCATGGACTACGCGACTCGAGAGTACTTGCGCAGACCACCGGTAGGCTACCATCACACATCTGGAATATCAAGAGATGAGGGCTAAACAAGATGGAAACAACAGGTGCTGAAGCCCTCGGCATGCACGCCTCTTTTCATGGCCGCCTTTACACTGCGCGGCGCCGGTTGCTGCATCCACACACATAGCAAGGACGCCGTGCTTGTGACACTTCTCTGCGAAGCCGCCGGCACCGACGTCTTCGAGATCCAGAAACTCGAGCAGATCAAGGGTATCCCCAAAGGATATGGCGAGGAGAAGAAGGGAAACCTTGGATACCACGATCGTCTGCGCATTCCTATCATCGACAACACTGCACATGAGGAGGATTTGAAGGATACACTTGAAGGTGCCATCAAGCAGTGGCCTGACACCCATGCCGTCCTGGTCAAGAGACATGGAATGTACGTACCTCGGCGTCTGAGACTTTTGAGATTGCGATGGAGATACTAATAAATCGCTAGTTATGTTTGGGGCAAGGATGTTGCTCAAGCAAAGACTCAGTGTGAGAGGTACGTTATCTCAAAGCTTGAGATTGCTTATGGAAGAAACTAATGCGACAACAGTCTCGATTACATTTTCCAGCTTGCAGTAGAGATGCATAAGTTGAGCTTGCCATGGATTTCGAAATAATCGCATAAAATACTGGTTTTGTATATTGTGTATAGAAGTGATAATGAGATCTGGCATCTAGAGGACACACCAGCTGATAAAACTAGCACTCCCTGACCTTGGTCCGTATTTGGCGAGTGGCTCAGCAATGGCATTACAATTCACAGGGTAATGCTTCGTATGATATATTGCAGTAGTATAACTGCAGCATGGAGAATGTCACCGGAGCTGAGCGAGCTCCTGCAAGTAAGCGCAGACTCGGGAATACCGTGCATGGAGATTGCGCTGACACCTGAATCTGACACGAGACATTGGTATAAGAATGATAGACATTGAACGAGATGATACTGGCCACGTGAACAGGGGGCCTTGAGATTACCGCATCTGGGGACAATGTTTTGCTCGGTCGGCCTGAAGTGGGAAATGACGGTTGCTTCAACTTTACCAGTCGGTGCATGCGTAGAATGCAACTTCCCTTCTGACTCTGATGGTGGATACATGCTGGAATAGCCAAGCAACAAGAACGAGCAGAAGCGAAGGCGAGAAGGTCAGAGCCGGATTTAACGATCTGTTCAATGCAAAGCCTTGACACCCATGCAAGCCATGCTCTCCCATGCATGAGCAGATCTCACTGTGTCCGTTGGTCTATTTTTAACCCATCTTCAAACCACCCACCAAACCTTTCCTCTTTTCCTCCAAGTTTCGAGAAAAACACACAGGGTCTGTCTTGGCCGCCTCTAAAAAGTCCTTTCCGTGTTCAAATTAAGCAAAATTAGGCTTTACGAACACGAAAAGCGGACGGTCCGCCCAACGGGNCCTTGACATCATCAGCGCCTCCGACGCACTTACAAAGAGCAGCGATGGCAGCGTTACATGCGGTCAGAGGCCTTCCAGGCCAAGACCTGACTCCATAGGTACGAGAATAGCAAAGGTAAATTGAAAGGTCTGTCAGAATGCCTGACTATATAAATCCCGAGAAGCAGNCACTCCAATTCTTCTTGGTCACTCTTGTCTACATCGAGGAAACTCTCACACACTATCCTTCCTCCAAATCTTGACACTAGATCTTTACGAAGATGTTCAGACAACTATCGATAGCCGCTGTGGCACTGTCGTTGGGTACGTTCAGGNCTGCTACAACATCTCTGCAGGGCGTTCATGCTAACATCTAGACAGCATCCACTCAGGTTTCGGCTAAGCCCATCCAACGCAGAGCAGCTGGCGATTCAGCATTCGACTACATTGTTGTCGGCACTGGTCCTGGAGGCGTCACAGTCGCCGACAAGCTGTCAGAAAGTGGTGCATCAGTTCTGCTAGTCGAAAAGGGTCAGGCCACGACAGGACAATGGGGCGGTAACAACAGACCTCAATGGTTGGACAACACTGGCCTTACCTTCTACGATGTCCCCGCTCTGGATAACATGATTTGGACGAAAGGCAACGGATTTACTGACGACATCTTCTGCAACGATATTGTTGGTGGTATTTCTGGCTGTGTTCTTGGTGGCAGTGGTGCTATCAACGCTGGTCTCTGGTGGAAGCCTTCATCTTGGGACTGGGACACACTGTTCCCTGAAAAGTGGAACAGCACTCACATGGCAAATGTGACTGACCGCGTCTTCTCGCGCCTACCAGGCACCGAGGTTCCCTCTCAAGACGGAAAGCTCTACTACCAGCAGGGTGCTGATATCATCGAGGGCGCTCTGAGCGCCGCAAACTGGACCGAAGTCAGTGCTAACAGCGTCCCCGACCAGAAGGACAGAGTGTACTCCAACACCACTTTCATGTACCAGAACGGTGAACGCAGTGGACCCATGTCTGTATACCTTGGATCTGCCTACCCTCGCCCCAACTTCTCGCTCTACACCAACGCCATTGTCGACAGAGTCATTAGAGAAGGCTCCAAGATCACCGGAGTTGAGATTTCGAACACCGCCGATGATGGTTTCAGAGGCACCGTCAAGGCAAACAAGGCTGTCGTCCTCGCCGGTGGTGCATTCGGTACCCCCAAGGTCTTGATGAGAAGTGGTATTGGCCCCAGAGATCAGCTCGAGATTGTCCGCAACGCCGAGGGATCAAAGATGATCAGCGAGGATCAGTGGATCGACTTGCCTGTCGGCTACAACCTGATGGACAACATCAATACCGATATCGTCGTTTCGCATCCTGACGTTGTCTACTACGACTTCCCTGGCCTCTGGAACAACCCTAACCAGGGCGATGTCGATGCTTACCTCAACGGCCGCACTGGCATGCTCACCCAATCATCCTCCAACCTTAACCCTATGGTTTGGGAGATGTTGAACGGCACCAATGGTCTTCAGGGGTTGCAGTGGACTGCCCGTGTCGACACTTCTCTCGACATCAACAATGATGACAAGCACAACATGGTTATCGCCCAGTACATTACTATTGGCCAAGCTGCCAGAGGTCGCACCACCATCACTTCCGACCTCAAGATGAATGTCTCCACCAGTGTTTCCGTCATGGAGCACGAGTCTGATCAGGTTGCCATTGCTCAGGGTATCGAAGACATGGTCAATGTTCTCAAGAACGTACCTGGCCTTGAGGTCCTCTCTCCTCCTTCTGGCATGTCTGCCTTGGACTACGTCAAGTCGACTACTCACCTGTACGTCAACCACTGGCTTGGCAGCTGCAAGATGGGCAACGATGACGGTCGCAAGGAGAACGGTACTGCAGTTGTCGATGCAGACTCCAAGGTCTACGGTACCGATAACTTGTTCATTGCCGATGGCTCCATCTTCCCTGGCCAGACGACATCGAACCCTCAGGCTGCCATCACCATTGTTGGTGAGCGTGTTGCCGAGCTCATCCTCGCACTCAACCAATAAGTTTGATGCTTGATTGGATAGACTCATGGCAATTATCTCGGCCACTTTAATAATCTTTGTACATAGACACGAATTGATGAAATCAGAACAAAAAGTACTCTTCTAAACAATTTTCGATGAAGTGCAGTTTCAGAAATGTGTTGGTGGGAGTTCGTAATTTGATTGTGTCTCAATTTGTATAAGTGATATTAGCTGTGGTGTCTTGCTGGGGACGAGTCTATCGGCCCATGCTGCTGATCATTTCACGCTGGGCTGCTCTGTCGCGGTTGGCCTCTGAGAGCGGCGGTATGCTTCTTAGATCGCCAACAACATCCTTGGCCTTGCCAAAGTAGACTTCCTCTGTATCTGGCATCAGCATCGTGTGGTTCTAGTAAGAGTGTTCGGGTAAGCACTTACGCAGCAAGTTGCGCATCTTGAGCTCCATGTCCTCGACGAGCTTGCCGATGTTGGCGACATGGGTCTCGTCAGCATCGACGGGCATGTCTGCTTCCACCTGTCTGGTCATGTTGCCAGCGAGATCGAGGCTGCCCAGAGCATCGCCCTTGGTGCCGAGATTCAAGATGACGGTGGATGTGAGCTTGTACTTTGCGGTGCGGCCGCGCTCGGCGACCTCGAGAACGTGGATGCTGTCCCAAGCACCCGACGCAGCGGTCTGAGATGAAGACTTCTTGAGCAGCACGACGCCAGCAAAGCCATCGTCTAGGTTCCAGAGGTAGACGGAGGAAGTGCCGCCTTCGTAGTANTCTGTGTTTCCCCCAAATGGTCTCAGTATAGTCTTCCCTTTTTGTTGTTTCTCTTTCTGAGGCGTAGGCACTCACAGCTCGCGGTAGACGTCAAAGGCTTCGTTTGCGCGGACTTCGAGGCGGCGCACGCGCTCGGAGCTCATCTCTGCGTCGTCGACGGGAGGGTCGAACTCGTTGCTCCAGGGGCTGCGGTAGCTGTCGCCATCGCGGTTGTAGTCGCAGAGCAGGTAGTCGCGGCCGGACTTTTTGCAGCGGCGGACTTCGAGAGGTTGGTCGACCGAGGCGAGCAGTTCTTCCTCGTGTTCGGGGACCAGACTGCAGATGGCCGAGAGGTTGGTGGCCGTGTTCTTTGGGTTTAGGCGTCGGAGGAGGTCGCTGTTTGGGGTGTGTGGGTTAGAATTAATATGAAGGGCATGATACGATAGCAAGGGCTTACAGCGCACTGTCGAATTGGTCTGCCATTTTGTGGATGTGACTATGTGGTATAGCTACAGTCTTGTTTGGTGTGTTGGTCGGCATCGAGACGGGGTCCAAGCACCTCCCCCACGTCAGAGTGCGACTGCTGTTTCGAGACGTTCGCCGCAGCCTCCTCCGAGTTTCCAATGTCACAATTCACAATTACTTTCTGCCCTTCTGTCCATCAGAGTACGAGTTATAGGGGCTATCCTGAGCTCGGCAAATTGGGACCATAGAGCCGGCGTTGATTGATGAGACATGGTTGTATAGCATTGAGATCAGCCATTTCTCGATGGCTTGTCGTGGGGTTCTGGTCACACATACACATACCATCATGACCGTATCAAACTCGAAGTGGCGCTGAATACCCTCGTAGCTGAGCATGGTTTCTTTGTCTGATTTCCATGACTATTATATCTCTCCTCCAAGTAGCATAGCATTCCCCATATCGGAGCACGCCGATGAGCGAACCAGCCCGCCAATCAGCAACTGCCGTCCACCACTCCATCCTCCGAACTCCTGGAGAGTTTGGAGATAAGTCGTTGGAATGGTCAACCTTACACTCCTAGGTCGAGCACCTGTCTTCTCTTTTGTGGTATATATACCTCGTGTCCGGTCCGGATAGCTGTGTCTTCTGTTTGATTTGATTTCGCTTTTCTTCCCCCTTATCTTTGCAACATTCGATATAAAGCAATCATGATCATGTCAACTACCAACGGCAGTGCATCGGAAAAGACGATATACTTGGGTGCTTTTGCCCATTGCACATCTCTGCAAGAAGTCGAGATCTGTGAAGCTGGAGCCATTGGAGTCGATTCAAATGGCAAGATTGCATTCATCGAGCGAGATATTGGAGACATTCCAGCATACGAATTACGAGAGAGGAAGGATGGTTGGGAGAAAGCAAAGGTGATTCAAATACAGGACCAGGGTTTCTTCTTCCCAGGCTTCATAGGTAGGTTGCCAATTCATTGCAGAGGAAGGTGTTGTCCCAGACTAACGTGGTTTCCCANNGATACACACATCCACGCCTCGCAATATCCAAACTCTGGCATTTTCGGCAAATCTACATTACTGGATTGGCTCAACACGTATACTTTTCCGCTGGAATCATCATTTACGGATCTGGAAAAGGCCCGTCGCATCTATGCTCGAGTCGTCAACCGCACTCTTTCCCACGGCACAACGACAGCGTGCTACTATGCCACCGTCCACGTCGAAGCCACAAACTTGCTCTCCGACATTTGTTTATCCAAAGGCCAACGTGCATTCGTCGGCCGCGTGTGTATGGACCAACTAAGTCCAGACTACTACCGCGACGAGAGTGCCGAATCCGCCATCGAAGCCACAGAAGCCTGTATCGCACACGTGGCAAACATAGATCCCAAACACCACTTCATCACTCCCATAATAACGCCCCGCTTCGCCCCCAGCTGCAGCGAAAACTGTCTAAGCGCTCTAGGCAAACTCGCGCACAAAACCGGTTTGCCCATCCAAACCCACATCTCGGAAAACAAATCCGAGATTGAGCTGGTGGCTGAATTGTTCCCTGACAATACTTCTTATACCGATGTCTACGATAAAGCAGGACTACTGGGTCCAAAGACTATTCTTGCACATGCAGTCCATTTATCACCAGAAGAACGCGCAACCATCCGCTCTCGCGATGCAAAGATCAGTCATTGTCCAGCTTCCAACACGGCATTGACCTCGGGCGCAGCACCAGTAAGGACTTTACTCGACGAGGGCCTCACAGTCGGTCTCGGAACAGACGTTAGTGGAGGCTACAGTCCCAGCATTCTAGAAGAGGCCCGTCAAGCCGTTCTCGTCAGCAGACATGTGGCCATGGTGGATGGCGATGCCGCAAAGTTGAGCACAGAAGAAGCATTATGGCTAGCCACGCGAGGTGGTGCAAAGGTCGTTGGTCTCGAAAACCGCGTCGGTGGGTTTGAGGTCGGTATGGATTGGGATGCACAGATGATTAGCTTGGATGTCGTGAGTGAAGACGGTGAGATGGATGATGCCGGCACCAAAGGTCCCGTCGATGTCTTCATGTGGGAGAGCTGGCCAGACAGACTCAACAAGTGGTTCTACGGCGGCGACGACAGAAACACAGCCGCTGTATGGATCAAGGGTCGTTTGGTGCATACAACGCACAAATACAGAGGTTGATGTTGAAACACAATCAATTCACTAGAAACTTGTAACAACATCTTTTGAAAAGGCTGGAAATACAGCGATGAAACTTAGAACCACAATTACAGTATATACACCTCCCACTTTAAAATTCAATATGGGTTTTGAATAGCAACGACCAAAAACGTCCCAAGGGATATATCCTTCTTTAAGCGTGTTCCCCCGAAAACACCAAAAGAATAAACAAAGCAACCCTTGATATGTCGTTTCCTCTACAAGTTTTACACAAAGTCCCTTCGTTATAGGGTCCTCATCTATGCGGTGGGAGCGGGCTTGCTGCCATCATCGTTAACGTAACTCTCCCAGTTGGCCAAAATGTTGCCAATCTTGGGTGAGTTGGTCAGGCGGTACACGTCCTCGAAGTACTCCTTGGTGATTTCGAATGGCCTGGCAGTGACGTTGGGAATGTATTTGCCAACGAGCTTGCTAGGATCGATACTTGTCTTGTTGATCTTCTTGAGCAAGAAGGAGCGGAAGGGCTTGACACCCGAACGCAGGAAGGTACTGTGGAATGGCACATCGATACCCTTGAGGGGAATTGTGGCGAAACCACGCTGGAGGTCAAGAGGCTTGGGCTTGGCTTCGGTCTGCTCTGCGCATCCCTTGATGATCTCAACGAGGTGGCCCTTAACGTCTTCAAGGGACATGGTCTGCATCAACGATTGGATGTCGATCTTCTGCACCTTGAGGTAGTTGAGGACGTTGGCCAAGCAGTCGAGCGCACGAAGGTCACCAGCAGCGACGTACTGCATGTTGGCGATGTTGTAGTTGACAATCTCCAGAAGCCATGTGGTGGTCTCTGCAATGTTCTCGACAACGTATTGCAGAGCTTGCTCGGTGAAAGTCTTGCCGATACGCGAAGGGTTGACAGCGCACATGGAGTAGTTTGAGCGGCCAGCCTCGTCACGCTCGACGGCGACTTGCATGGTCAGACCACGGTAGAACACAACCGACACCAAACTCTCGATAGGCATGACCTCGGCCATGGCAGCGAGAGCAGAGTACTCTCCAAGGGAGTGACCAGCGAAACTGCTGTCACGCTGAACGAGACCCTTAGAGCGCATGTCCTCGAAGGAAGCCTTCTCCATAAGAGTAAGTGCAGGCTGAGTGAATTGGGTAGCCGACAGCAGACCAGTTGGTGAGCGGTAGGTGTACGATGTGGTGGTCTCGTTGATCTCCTTGAAGATCTTTTCTGACTTGATGCTTCCATCGGCGCTGACGGTCTCGAAGGTCATGGACATGTAGTTCTGGCGAATGGCCTTACCACGAGGTCCACCGAAGTGAACAGTCATCTCGTTGGGGTTGTTCTTGACAATGTTGGTAATGGCGAAACCTNNGTTTTCAATTAGCGATGCACGTTTGGTGATAGTTAGAATTTGCTTACCATAGTTATCAAGGAAATGCTTGTCTGCTCTGTCCCAGACCTCCTTGGCGACAGGGCTGCTTGCGTACAGCTCCATACCCATACCCTGTTCTTGAGAACCCTGACCAGTGAAGACGTAGGCAGAAACAGGCTGCTCGACCTCTGCCTCACCGATGAGGACCTTGTCCTCGGTCTCCTTGTTGCGTGCCTCAACAGTGATGATCTTGCGACCAGAGACCATACCGATGTGTTGCAAGCTGACTTGGATGGTGTCGTTGGGAAGGACCATGCCGACGAGGTTGACGTGGAAGCTGCGGACGCGGCCGACGTTGTTCTCAGCAGCCCAAGTCTCGACCAAGCTTCTGACAGCAGCACTAGAGTACATGCCGTGAGTGATAGTGCCGGGAAGGTTAGCGTACTTGGAGAAGACACGAGAAACGTGGATGGGGTTGTAATCGCCCGAAACCTTGGCGTAGGTCTCGTTTGATGCAGGTGCCTTGAGCTCAAGAGGGGTCTTGCCGTTCAAGGGAATAGGGTTTTCGAAGTTGACAGGCTGGTCGATGGCAGAGCCGTTACGCTCCAGGTAGTCAATGACGGGGTTACCGTGAGAGACACCGGCCTCGTACTCGACCGAGGCGAGCTGGATGATCTCCTTGCTGGGCAGCTCAATCTCAACCTGACCGACAGTCTCGACGGTGCTGAAGACGTTCTCGTTCTTGTAACGAACAAGACTCTGCAGGCGGAAAGTGATAGTCTGACCAAGAAGATCAATCTCAGTGTCCTCGAGGCGGAACCACTCCTTCGACTGGAGGACTGCAACATCCTTGCTAGTAGCAAGAGTGATCTGCATGGGCTTCTCTGTCTTTCTTTGGAAGGTGTTCTCGAAGTCGGTGTATGCACCGCGGTACAAGAACTGACTGGTGACCTCCATGACGGGCTTGCCGTCACGGGTGATGGTGCCGCAAACCTCGACCATCTTACCAGAGGCCTGGTTGATGACAGCGTTAACCTCAGCAGTGGTATCAAGAACATCGCCCTTCTTCAAAGGAGCAGCGCCAGGGATCATGCGGAAGCCGTTGGAAAGGTGAACAAGCTTGAGGAGATCGCCGTCAATCTTGCGAGGGAAGATAGGCTTGGTAATAGCCTTCCATCCAACAACGATGGCGAAATCCATGGGAGCGAAGACCTCCTTGCCAGGACGGTCGACGAAAGCTTCGCCAGTGTTACCAACTGCATGGACGAAGTCGTTGATAGCCTCGCTAGTGACAGTAGCTCTGCCACCATCGAAGCGCGAGGTGACAGGGGTGTCGAAAGGAACATCGGCGTCACCGAACCAGATCTTGTAGTAGAACTCCTTGATGCGGTCGTTGCGAGCCTCCATGACTTCCCTGATAGGGGCGTAGCCAGTCTCAGGGTGGTAGGTGAACTTCAAGGGCAAAGCAACAGC